GCGCCTCTACGTCAGTGGTTCTGAGCACGTTATATGCACTCCACCAGTATAAATATTGATTAAGAGGTTTTTGGATGACATGGGCCAATGCTTTAGTGCCTGTGGCAAATTCTAGTAGCCATAGCAAATAGCGTTCACCGCCTACGAGATATGTCATAGAAAAATGACATTGGTATCACCATATGCTGGCACACTCCCAAACGTACGCAGAGTAGCGGATAGGCCCAGTATTATATTGAGCTAACGTCTCCGGGTAATATACACCGCCCTCGACCCCGCCAATATACGCCAAATATACCAATTGTTTTCTTTGCAGTAGAGATGCACACACCATGGCTGTCCTCACATTCAGGCGACCCTGGTGTGAAATAGCGAGTTCAACACATTATAAATTGCCTTGAGAACCAATGTCCCCATTTTAAGGAGCATCTGTACAGAAATGCGTGTTGTATTGCGTTTGTTTTTATTTCAAAACATACTCAGTACTGATGGCCTCACGAACTATTCCATATATCGAACAATGGCAACATGTTTCCTTGGATAGTATGTACAATATGCAGCAAACATTTTGTCAAAAGGCTTCGAACTCGCGGAGATATGCGATTGGTGTCGACGAAGTGCTTTGCCATAAAGACGTCGGGTTTCCTCTCCTGTTCACTCCCTCAAACGCAACAATGTGCCATATATCACCGCACAGTGCTCTGATCGCCGAGATTTTTGCGGCATCGGAACACTGTGGCATGTGTCTTACAATATCCAAGGTTATACGCATCCCTCTGTGTTGACACGCAGGGGGATACCACAATTCATGGGTTTTGAACAAAGGTCAGGAAAAGAACGCTTGGAGCCATTAGCGATGTCGCGTCTATTCGCCGGTTATCTGAGTGCGGTAGAGCCCTAGTGGCATACGGCTGAACACATACCGATTTTCATATATGTTTATTACCTATCTGCAAGCAGTACAACCATCCCACCACGTTAGAAAACGTTTGTGGGAGGTGAGATCGTGTTTGAGAAGCTCACAGTCGCTCCGACAGCAACATCAAACCTTGGTCTACCAAATTGTTCCCCCATTCATGCTATGGAATTTATACGGTGAAATGATTTGAATGAGTACGTAGTCAATGACCTCTGTACGTGTTGAATGTGTCCTCCCTTCATGTGTTCAAAACTCGAGAGGGCGCAACACCCTGAGCGTGCAGGCCGACTGCCGAGAAATGCATTGCCGGGTTTATCTTGCACTTCCGATATTACCGGATTTGATTCTTCCGGTCGCAGTTTGAACGGCGGCGGTTAAGCTCCAGTCGGCAACCCTCAATGCCGGAGTGACCTTCATTTCCGGGTCCCAATATATTCTCTATCTCATCCAATCGTGACCGGCCTCGTTCACGATGCTACAGATAGAAGGTGGCTCAACGCGTTATCATAATCTGTTGGCAGACTCATGGCATGCTCGTCGTCCTTCTTGCACTCATGTCGAACGACAACTGTCGACCAGGGAGTAATCTCCACATCCTCATTCTCAACACCATGCAAGAGGCTTTGGCGGCACGTCTGCGATACAATGCAAGTGATAATGTTCACCCCTTTCGCGAGGTTCAGTCTCCTGTTGGGTTGGATCACCGATTATTTGCTGCCGTTCTTCAAGCTGCGGATCGGATTCATGCAGCGTGCAGCTGCCAATGTGAGAGTCGTCTTATATTACATGCGCGTACCTGCGACTGAAGTTGGGCTAGATAACGTGGACTGGAAGCTAGAGGAGTACATGAATATGACTCCGAAGACCCGCGGTGTAGCCACGGAGCAACAGAATGACCAACTGAAACAGGCGTTTCCGGTGGATCTGCCGGGAGAGTCCGGTGTTCCACCGGCAATCCATGTCCCAGCTACCATCGCCGATTCTGACGGTGTCATTCTCGCATGGATTCTTCCCAACCTCCTCCCAGTGGATATACAGGTTTGTAACATCGAGACGTATATTAAAACTTGCTAATCAACATCCATTCAAGACAGACCTGTGGCGGTCAACGGACGGCCTTGCTCCAATTCTTGACAAGCCATCACCGAACACCGATTCGTGGCGTCTCTGGAAGGAGAACTTCAAGCACGACAAACACACACTCTGCGGTCTTCTCAGTATCGCACCGCAGATGGTTCCTCAAGGAGTACGTACTCTGTAATATTTGGTTGGAAATACTAATGAATTTTCGCAGGGACGAAACGGGCCAAAGCCCTCGAAGGGCTTTGCTGAGCGTGAAGTGCAGGAATGGCTGGAACGCATTACCGAAGTCGGGCTATCCTCGACGCGGTGATGCAAATCGTCGCTCCAACGCAGTACCGGCAGATCACGGAATTCCTGAACGAACATGTCGCCCCACACATTCCCTGGCCGGTCACCGGGATTGCACTGCAAATTATATGGAACCGGAAGACCACCTATCATCGCGACCAGAATAGCTTCCATTTGTGGTACGACCTCCTGGTCACTGTTGGCAACTACGGTGACCAGGCATACCTCGGACTGCGCGGTCTCGGTTACTCGGTCCCATATTCGCCTGGCACTGTAGCCGTTATATTGGCCAAATACGTCGAGCATGGAGTGCCCGAAGTGCAGGATACTCGAGTCGCGATTTCATGGTACAATCGCCGGGAGATGGTCAGGGTATGGGGTGGGAAGGAGATGTCGACGACTGCCGAATCAAATGTTCAGTCGCTGATGCGTTCGGTAATGGACTCGGTATTCGCTCGTGGACTCTGAAACTTATCTGACATGCTGGAACTCATCATCAAACACGCATTACAGCGCAGCTAGGGACATGTATCACAATGAAAACCGTCACTGGGTCTTTGTACGCTTCCGAAGTTGGCCACCCTCGCCGGCTGTCCCTGACCTTTGGCGTGTTGTCCGCTGCCTTGCCCCTGTATCATTGCCGGATGAACCACCTGGCGCCTGCTTCGGTACATCCACTGCTCTGGTTGGCGGAGTGGACGTGATCTTGACCCCGCCGCGAGCCCCGCGGCAGTGACCTGGACTGCACGTGTGGACCGCCGCTAGATAAGCCACATTAGCGCACCGGTTATGCCGAGTGACCGTGTACTATACCGGTGGTTGTTGAAGCTGCTTGGGCGCAGCCCCCGCAACCTTCGTGCCGGTGGTTCCCTCGGTTTCGTCGGTTGTTCCATTGCCGGGCAATGTCGAGGAGGATGGTCCAGCACCTAGAGAGATTAGCGGTGCTGGTTATAAGCCATGAGACATTGTAGCCCTTATTACCGAAGCACTCACCGTTGTCCGCAGCTTTCCCCTTCTTCTTCACTGGGCGTGGCATCGGACCGGTCCGTTTCGGCTTCCACCCAGCTTCGAGCGTCAGCTCCATCATATCGCAGAGGACATTCATGCGCTCGGGGAAGGATCCTTTGAGGAGATTACCTGCGCCGCAACGCAATAGTGTCAAGGCGCTCTGCCCGAAATCATCTCCGCTGTCGAATTCCGGCGGAGGGACTCTTCTCGGAAGTCGTTCGCTTGACGGGAGTCTCGGGCGAGGAGTCCGAACACCAAGCAGATCCTTTGCACCGAGACGCGGTCAAGATCCTCGCGGACCGATTGATCGCCGATCCAGTCGAGCAGTCGGACCACCTCTTGTGCGTCGTTGTAGAGATCATGGCCAACAAACCCGTGGACGTTAGCCCATGTTGCCCACGGAGCGGCTGGAATGGGTGGAATGTCCACCTTCGTCTCGAGCTATGATAGTGATATTATTATTATGTCTTCGGCACTGAAGTCGCCCACTCACCGCCTTGGCTACACGGGTCAGGAGGTTCTGGTACTGCGTCTCGGCGCACAAGCTCTCGAGGAACGGGACGACCCCGCCGGGTTTGACACCATACGGTGCCGGACGCTCCGCCGGAAGTACGGTTGTTCGACGCACAACCGGCGAACGGAGGCCTGACGGCGGTGGTGTCCTCACGTCGACGTACCCTGGGCCGTCATAGTCTTCCGACGCAGCAGTGGGTGTCTCGTCAATGCCGGTGTCCTCGAGCGACTTCGAACCTCATCGCCGTCGCCATCCTCGTCTTCCTCCTCGTTCTTCCGACCCTCCTTGTCACTGTCGGTATCGTCCCCGGACTCGTCGTGATCACCATCACCAGATTGGAGCTCTTCGAACTCGTCCTCTTCTCGGTCCTCCTTATCAGCCTCGTTCTCGAAGAAGTTGTCGTTCTCCTCGTCGTCGGAGGAGGGTCCCTTCCCTTTGCCCTTGCCCTTGCGCTTCGCCGTCTTGCCCCGTTTACGACTCGTACGCTTCCCGGTGGAATACTCGCCATCCGTGTTCCTCTTGGACTTGCCGCCCCGCCTAGACTTTTTGGACGGACCAGCTTCGGCACCGTTTCCGGAAACGCTCTCGGTAACGTCGTCCACATACAGTGCTCGGTACTGACCGGGGATATGATCAGCGGTGGGCTTGTGCAGTCCGCGCAAGAGGTGAAAGCGGCCCTCCGGAACTTGAAACACCTCCCCCGGGCCAGGCTCAGCGTAATCTTCCGGTGCCGGCAATGACGCCTCTGTCTGGAGGATGTACTGGAACCAGTTATTCTGAGCCTTGATCGACATCTTGCTCATGCAGTCGAACTTATCCTTGAATTCGGACGTTAAATAGTCTTCTGGGATGTACTTTTCGAGTTCCGGTTTAATGGTGCTCCATGGGACAGAGTTGAGCAGCACACCGTCCCCAGTGGCAAGGCCTATCACCGAGACTTAGTCGGTAATACACTAGAATTGTGGTTACTGACTGAGATGGAGCCGGAAAAAGTCGCAACCGTGGGCGTAAACTTCTTTGCTCGTCATCTTCTTGCCATTGTGACTAGAGTGAAATGGCTGCGGTAGACCGTACATGTGTTTGAATGCCACGGTGGATGAGCGATCCCGCCGTTGCCGACGGAATAGGTTTTGGTCTCTGAGCGCCTGTGTGTTCGGCAATAAGCGGCAATGAATCGTAAATGCGCAAGACCTTTACCGGAGGGTCGGCATCACCGATCATGCCGAGCAGCCTACTGAAGGTCTCCAAGCAGGCCACCTTCGTGTTCGTGTCCCAGAGTTGGTGCTTTTGCAAGGCGTCGGCCGTCTCCATGTACTGTGTGGTGTCGTCGCTGCCGACTGATTCAGTACTCATGAAAGGGATTAAGGGATTTCTTTACAAATGCGTATTGACCTGACCGCCAATAGCTGGGCGGGTGGTGTATACAAAGACCGCGGCACCACAAACGCGGAACATGAATTTGATGAACTCTTCGACGATGTGGACCATATTCTTGTTTGCGTAGCTAAAATATAATCAACACCGACAGTGGCACACTTGCAAACGCATCCATACTCTCGCTGAAAGTCCGGAGGCGGTGGCTTCGTGTTGTACTCGGCAGCCAAGTCCAGCCACTCCTCTTGCTCCTCCTCGTCAAGTTTCTTCCACATCTCCGCCGCCTGGCTGTTCTTCATGCCAAAACTGGCGTCCTTGCCCGCCTTCTCCTCAACGTCTTTGAAATGCTTACTGTACCAGAGGCCGCGGCCGGTGAACAGCCTGAGACCGCACCAGTCCGGTGTTCCCTCCTGGCGGTCGGCAGTGTGGTTGCTGAACCACAGCGAACATTTCTACGCAGATTAAGAAAAGAGTTTGTGTCGAAATCACGTAGGGACTCACCTTTTGCACGAAGCCCGCCAAGAACGGGGTGTCAAGCCCCCGCCGCTGCAGAAAGACCTCCACCAAGTTTTTCTCGATTGTCCGGCGGGTTGCCGTCTGTGCAGGCTTCCACTTCTCTATCCCTTTTCGCATCTCCGAAACCTCGGAATTCTTCCACTGGAAATCCGCAAATGGGTCTTCGGGAACGTTTTCGGTAGTCGACATGGTGCAAGCAGAGTGAGAAAGATGGTGGAGTGAGAGATCTAGGGAATAATTGATGCGTCGAGGACAGTCAATCCATCTCAGACCCGGAATTTTTTGTATACATTTATTTGGTCCTGTTTCAACTCAGCGAACAGTAGGAGTATATCTCTGCCGACTGCTTGATACCATCGATATCAGTGAGCTTTCCCCTCACTCATCTGTCCTCTCGCTCTCCCATCATGCCCCTCGCCAACCCCCAGCAAGCTCGAGTACTCAATACTACAACTTCGCAAACATATTACACAAAGGACGGCTCCAGGCGCACAAAGAAACGCAGGATCGACCCAGGCCCGCCGGTTTACGCACCGGCCGGCCAAGAGGACTACCGGAGCGGGCCCTCACGAGTGCCGGATCCGACACCTCAATCAGACACACGTGACGATGAAACCACTTGGGAGATGCCTGAAGTTACCCAGCTGGGGCCCGGTGAGAAAAAGTCTACATACAAGGCAATTATCCTCGGCATTGTCTGGCTCCCTGCGCTGACAGTTCGTGTAGAAGCAAGTGACCATGCACGAAGAATGGTTACCTCTGGCCCCATTGTTCTTGCGAAGACTCATAGAACGTTGGAAGCCGGTAGACAAAGAAGACAAGTGCAAATGTGGTGGAATATTGGCCTGGCGTTGTCGAACGTGCTTGGGTCTACCAACGTTCTGTTCCAAGTGCTGCAGGCAGGCACATCTCCACCTAGTGCACCACCGCGTTGATGTGTGGGATGCCGATCATTGGCGGCGTGCATCGCTATTTGATCTTCGGATGCAGGTACATTGCGGTCATGATGGCGAGTTATGTCCGAACCTCACTGCGCAACCTCCTGGGTCCGTACCGGAACTAAATATACTGCCTATTTCTGACGACTTGGATTCACTCGAGCCACCTGAGGACGCTGCTGATCGTCCAATTGACGAATATCCTGAAGAACCAGAAGAAGAGGATGAAGAGGAGACGGTAGTCGACGAAGATGCCGGCATTGGGTCCAATGCCGGTGATATTAACCACGACCCTGCCGGCAATGCCACCAACACCGCCCCACCGAACATACCCATCTACCGAGGGGAGCGCATTCTCACGGTGGTACACACCACTGGCATTCAACGCCTGGCGTTCACATTCTGCAAGTGCGCAAATGCAGATTCCGAGGCTGAGCAACTTCTGCTTCGCGGATTTTATCCAGCGTCGGTGAAGCGTCCAGTCACGGTGTTCACATTTGCTTGCCTCGACGACTTCCTCCTGACAAATCAGCAATGCAAAACGTCTCCATGGAACTATCACATGAAGCTCTGTCGCGCGACCGATGGGGCATTTTGGGGCTCTGTCCAGGTTAGTACCGATGCAGCCTTATGAACGATGCTAATACGATTTAAATTAGCTGGGCTACAAGGCTCTCCTCCGCACGTCCAGGCAATACCGAGTGCTGAAGTGGAAACTTCACGCAGGCATCGGTCATGAGGAACCGAGTACCGAGATGAGGCCTGGTAGATTAGCAATAACCTGTTCTGCTTGTCCCCGACCGGGCTTCAACACACCCCCTGGCTGGGCCGGGAGTGCCGAAGCGTGAGTGTCATTACCGAGGGTTTGGCGGTTCGCTGATGAATTGCTTAGCCGCGAATATCCTGCATCAACGGCACACGACGGCAGCTTTAACTTGGAGCACATGGTTATGAAAAACCCGGAAGACGATCTACAGTTCGTTTCGGGTGAACTGTACACTGTCGACCCAGGACCGTTTGATGCACATTTGGAGGACGCACTTACAAGGGCAAAAGATGAGGTATGTCTTGACCTACCGCATTGCCGGTGCGCGGCCTCATTCCGGCAAAGCGGGTTGCCGCAACATGCAACGAGCACCGAGCCACCAAAGAGTCCCTTGGGGGCAAGGCGCATCTGGATGCAACAGGAATTGGTGCCTCTGCCTGCTCGAGGCATGGATTCTTCATTCCTCACACGGTCGTGGACTTTCAGCGCGGTGAAGCGTGAGTGATATTTCGGCAATAAACTTCGCACCGGTCCTGATATTGTCGGCAGCCAACGGAACATGGACTACTCGGTACACTGGGCATGGAAGTGGTTCGCCGGCTACACAACTTTTGTCCTCATCTACGACATCGCCTGTCAGTACCACATCAACGCGCGCAAACGATTCGAAGCATCTCCGTTCCTTCAGTGGCCCATTGCCGCTACTTTCTTTTGGGCTATCGGCCAATTCCACGTTCACGGCCATCAAAATCGGTGTTATGCTCGGCATTCGCTGAGCTTCGTCCCCAACGTCGGGCACCAAGACGGTGAAGTGGTCGAAACCTTGTGGAAACCATTGAATTTTATCAAGGATAGTATTCGTGGGATGGCTACTTCGCATCGCAAAGAGGTTATCGACGCTCATATGCAAGATTCTAATTGGATGAAGCTCTGTCGTCTCCGTAGGTGTCTTCCGGAATTCACTTTCGGCAATCGGAACTCATCAGCCCGGCAGCAAAATCACTTGTCGACAAGTGGAAGGAATCAGTGGAAGAGTACACTGCAGCAAAAAAGGCCTTTGAAGACATCGACCGTGTTGCTAATGAGGAAGAGCGCGCCCAATGGAAACAAGAGATCCTCGATGCGCGAGAGGCACGCAAAACCGATCCCTCCGCCATGGACATTTTTACACCAAAAAAAATCAAACGTGAGTCCGATTTTTATCACTGCACACTTATATTCAGTGGAGCACAGCGGCGAACAAGACGCAAGTCAGGACGGCTCTCTTGAACGGTGACACAACGCACATTGTATCACTCGAGAGCCCGATCTCAGTGGACCTCCTTGCGTGGCTCTCTTTGGGAATCGGCATAGACCGCCAGAGGTAAGCTACTTTCCCATTGCCGGTTGTCGTCGGCACACCCGTCGGAAATGCTCTACCGGTATTCACACTGCCGTGGGGTGCATCCATAATGGTGATAGGCACTGGTTATGAACGCGCAGGTGTGGACGCTTGGGCACATGTATGATAATGCGTTGAGTGGAATGCCTACTAATTTGTTATGTTCAGGGTGGTCATTGCTCGATTGGTTCGGGACCTTCGGCAGAGCTCGACTGACAAGGCGAAACTGACGATTTCCGAGAAGAGGCAACGGCTGTCATCGGACATTCGGTCGTTCAATACCGAAGCTGCAAAGCATCTCCGTAACGCCCCTCCAAGGCTGGTCGATGGCCCCGGCGATCTTGGCGAAGAATGGGATTCCCTGGAAGACTACGGGACTGACGCATCAGCCCCTGCGCCACAGGCAACTGAATCCGGCAGTCCGGAACAACTTCCCATTCTCATGCCGTCATCACTTGGTATTCGGTATTGCAAGGATCATGGTCTGGTGGACGTCGTCTATGCAGAGCGAGAACTCCGGAAAGGAGAGATGAATGAATGTCTCTCCGGCGTTCGCGACGGGATCGACACCAAATCCTACCTTTACTATGCTCGAGTTCGCAACGCCACTTCCGTCCGCACATCGCTCCGGTCCTTTAGCGAGATTCGGACGGTCGACCACTCGGTAGCGAAGTATGTCCGGCTCTACATGCTCTCTCGCACCACGCTCGCTGCCCTGTACGACCCGAACGACCCTGAAGATGTCAAGAAGAAAACGGATGATCTAGCCATCTACAAGCCCATCACGAAGTCCGATCTCACTGTCAACACCACGATCCTGGAAGCAACGACCAGGGGTGCTCGCAACAAACACCCTTCATGGATTTGGACGTTCACCGGAACATCGGAAGAGGGTTCCACCTTCTACAATGATGAAAGTAAGTTGCTCCGCTCGGTGATCATTAACACACCTGACATCTCGGTAGCCCGGTGAACAATGTGGCAGCGGGGTTATGAGCGAAAGGACCGTTGGTGGGAGAACCTGAAGGCGCTCGACCTGGAGATGCTTTGTGTGGTGCTGGATTTTGCACGCCTGAAGGAGAATTGGTTCGGCCGTGCCGTTTTCACGGCAGATTCACCCGGCCATAAGTGTTATGCTAACGGTCAAGCTCGAATGTGGGAGCGAAAGGAGAAGCAGAGCGCAGAAATGTTTCGCAACGTGCGTCGCGCGCATCCCAAACCTCTCCAGTAGAGTATACCCTGTATTTTGCTGCGTACACATATCCTGCTCGGCAATGCTTGCATGTATCCGGAAATGAGCTCGGCCCTGGCATTTCCGCCAATAGGCACTTTATTTAATACCGGCATTCCCGACATCCCGGTATCCCGGTCACCAGACACCCCACAATGTATCGATTTATACCTTCCGCTACGAAGGTCTACATACATCCCATTCGAGCCAGTGATTTACAACGCCTCCATATCCTATCCCGTAATCCGACTTGCTTCTCCTCCAGTTGCCAAGGCCCGTTCCGGAACAGGGCCATGCGAGGTGTGGTTACTATCAGGCCTGGTCAGCGAACACAGATATGAAGCTGATCATCATACCATCCGTGCACATCGCCTCTTGTGCCGTTATGAGCTCTTCGCACTCAAACGCATTGTCCTGTTCGACGAATCCGCGGATCCGCACCATTTGGCCAATATTCGGCCGTGGAAAGACCAATGCCTAGACGCATATTATCAGCGCACATACAGGTTTGGAGCGTCAGCATTACATACCACATCGTATGGGTCTAAGTCGACCTCTACCGATTCGCAGCCGTTCACCGGGCATTCCAAGTATATTCTTGCGGCAATGTCTGACATCTATGTATCAAGCGGTCAGCGGTGATCATCTCCGTGAGCAAAGTAACACTGACCTCTACCACGCGGGAAACAATTTCAACGTAGTATACACCGTTCGTGATCTTCAGGAAACACATGGTAGTGGGGGGATAGATGATGAAGTGGGACTCTGATACATCCCCTTATCAATAGATACCAGGCATATTGGCGCTCGGCAGTGATGGTTCGGTGTTACCTTCGCCCTCTGAATGCCGACAATGGGTTCCGTCGTCAATCTTCGGTGTTGATCGACTTTACGTAAATGCATTTACCCATGGGCGTGTGAGCCTGTACGAGCTCCGGTGCTGTTTTCCTCAGTGCGCGGTATTCACTGCCCGCACTGTAATAAAACCATATATTTTGTGCTGAGAACGTACGTGGCTACGTGCTACATTCATTACCGGAAATATGGTGGGTGCTCACTGGGGGAGCTCGTACGACCGTCTCAGACGGGGTACGTGCTCGTACGAGCTCCGGCAGTGTGTGCATCCCCGCGCGGTAACCACCGCACGCGCGGCCGTAAAAGCGGGCATTCTGGGCTCAGAACGTACGTGGCTACGTGCTACATTCATTACCGGAAATATGGTGGGTGCCGCCTGAGGGAGCTCGTACGACCGTCTCGGACGGGGTACGCGCTCGTACGAGCTCCGGCAGTGTGTGCATCCCCGCGCGGTAACCACCGCACGCGCGGCCGTAAAAGCGGGCACTCTGTGCTGAGAACGTACGTGGCTACGCGCTACATTCATTACCGGAAATATGGTGGGTGCTCACTGGGGGAGCTCGTACGACCGTCTCAGACGGGGTACGTGCTCGTACGAGCTCCGGCAGTGTGTGCATCCCCGCGCGGTAACCACCGCACGCGCGGCCGTAAAAGCGGGCATTCTGGGCTCAGAACGTACGTGTCTATGTATTCAATACAAATGCCGCAATTCCGGTATATGCCGCTTGAGGAGACCTCGTACGACCGTCTCGTACCGGGTACAGGCTCGTACGACTACCGAGGTTGGTTCCACCGTTGCGGGACAAACACCGCACACATGGTAACACAAGCAGTTGTTAAGTGCTGCGGAGGTCTGCGGCGGTGTATTCCATGCGTTGCTGGAGATAAATTGCGTGCTGGCCTGAGGGCCCCGAGTACGGGCCAGGATGTTGAGTCTGAGGAAGGATGGCCTCGGTAATGGCGGTGCAGGGCAGCACAGTGCTATTTGCATTGTTTGTGGTACCGATTACTACTTCTTTACACGTAGGGAAGCTGGGCGAGGGCTCTATCTACGAACGACAAGTCTCCCACCCTGACAACTCGTACGACCGTTACCGACGGCTACATTACTGGGGCTCGTACGAGGTCGTATGGGCGTTACCGACGGCGACGCGGGCACCTCGTATGGGCGTTACCGACGGGCTACAGCACTGCCACCGAGTGGGGTTTGCGGGTTCAGATCACACGCCTACTCTCATTCTGAGCAGCACGAAATGGACGGATACAGATGCATTGGCATCATTCAGACGAACAGCGCGCTCCACATGGTTCTACTGGTGCATAAGAACGACCTTCCCCAAATTGTACCTCTTGGGAGACGGCCGAACGTCATCCTCGTCGTCGGCCTCCCCCTGTACCATGAGCCCCGCTTGACCACCTTCGTCATCTGCTCCTTCGTCTTGCGCGTTGGGGTGAAGCGATTATCGAGACTGGGGCCTGGCTTGTCGTCAACAGCGCCATCCATTGCACTGCGGAGAGATGCCGATATGTCGTCTCTCAGTCGATGCAAAAATCGGTGCGTGCAGGTCCAACAGACAGAGCGCATTCTGACGGATCCATCAAGCCTAAGATGGTCGCGATCTGACCGGAATTGGTGATGCAGTGGTCGGGGGTGTGTTGCTCGTGGAGCCCTAGGGCAGGGGAAGTGGTTCGATGCAGGGCAAGCACGGGAGAGACGAAGGAACTCACCCGATAGCATACCAACTACGTCCCTATCCCCTGTAGCACGTGTTACTGAGGTTGACAAGGCCTAACGGGAAGAGCTAACTGCATCATGCACGCATGTCAGATAATGTGTATGCTGTTGCAAGGCGCATATACGCACTGCTTTCGTGACCTCGCTCTTGTACATATCTTCGCGAAATGAAGAAGACATCAGCTCACACTGCACAGAAACCAGCACAAGAACGGTTGGCGCACCTTTGAGGACTGGATGGGACTTGGGAAGCCGCGCTGATGACCATGCAGGTCTGGCCCTGCTCCCAAGACGAGATGCGATACCGTGGCCAATTCCTTGCAAGGCTACCCTGGGGATGCTGATGACACGTTGAGCGTACAAGAGGGAGATTCACCACAAAGGAACCGCAGGCGTTGTGGGCAACGTCCCTGAGCCCCGGCCTTCCAGCCATGGAATGTGTCCGCCGTCATAGCTGAGGCCGGGGGGAGGAAGAGGAAGGAGCTGGCGAGGAGAGAAGGGAGAGAAAAAGCTCGAGGTTCAGCTCCGCTTTGGGGATGTGTGGGGATCGACGCGTCGGCTCCGGCGCTTGGCACACCATCTGGCATGTCGTCCTTATTGTCGTCCTCTCCTCCCCTTCTGCCTCACCGCCCTCCAGTTGCTCCACATCAACACCCCCTACCTTGACCATGCCAGCCCCGTGCGCCCCATGCGTACAAGCACGCGTTCACCATCGCACTTGCCCACTGGCTCTCTCGCTCCCTCTTCTCGCCCGATGACACCCTCAGGGGCGCCCACCACGAAGTAGTTGTTCACTGCGGTGAGTTCTTTGTTTTGTCTTGCACATTCTCTCTAATCTTACCGTCTACCCGCATCGCTCGCCTCGCCTGCTTCACCCATGTCTGCTCGCCAGCCTCTGCCGGGCCGCTCCTCGTCCTCACTGTCCTCGACGCGCTCGTGTGGCCGGCCTTCGCGCGCGCGCTCCCCTCCCCTCCACCGACACCGACACTGACCCCTGGCAGACGACAGGCTCGCTCCTCGGATGGACACCTCCCCGTCTCCGTCTCGCGCGGGGAGGGCGTGGGCGTTGGGCTCGGCTGTATGGCACGGTGACAGTGTATGTGAACGGGGTGCCGTACCAGGTGCGTGCTTGCAGTGTCTCTCGCTCACCCTGCCCACATGCTGACGCGAGTTCCCCCTGCATGCGCGTGTGGACAGGTGCTTCTCAACACCGGCAGCTGTGACACCTGGATCGACCCGCTCTCCTTGGGCGGCACGGTCCCCCCAAACCTCATTCCGACCAGGGTGAACTCCACACAGAGATGCGGGTGCGTCCTTTTGTCCGTCTATGTCCACGCGCGGGATGGGATGCTCACAATCGGCGAACCCAGTCTCAACCATGTTTAACGTGGGTGACGACCGCTTGCTCCGCGCGCTTCAAGCATGTCGCACCCATCGCCTGCGTCACCCCTCCTGGCATCTCGCGCCCGCATTGCGCCCGCGTCACCCGCCGTCGTGTGCGTCACCCCCACCTCGTCCACTCCGAGTTTCCTCCATATCCTGTGTCGCCCACGTCGCCGACTCGCCCGCATCTTGTCCTCGCCTCGCCGCCGTCCGCCCTGCCCGCATTTCCCATCCCGCGCCCGCACCACCCACCTTGCATGCGTCGCACACGTCGCACCGTCTCGCCCACGTCTCGCCCTCCTCGCCCGCGCAACGACACCCACGAGCTCACCTGGGCACGCACTCCGGAGCGGCCACCACCTGAGCGGTATCCGCCATAGTTCCTCACATCCGCGAAGATGTGTGAAGACATTTGGGGTGCAGAAGGAGGGACTCATTAGTTAGACTAGAATGCACGTTAGTTCGGACCGTCGATGAATAGATCAGATTTATGTCTACTAGCTGCGTGAATGGCTAGTATTAGGCCTGATGCAATCGCCCAACAGGGAGAGGCCTGACAAGTCGGGCGTTTTTCACCACTCCCGCTTAAGACGGGTCATTTTCGCCCAGGGATGCTTGCCTGATCAGTCAGCGGTGAATATCACCCGTGTTGCGTGTTAAACCGGAGTGGGTTTAAATCGCATTCAAACCCCTACTGCCCTGAAATCAACCACTCTGCCGGTGATCCTCGGGAAGCACCCGGACCGAGGGTGCTTTTTAACCCACGTTCTTTCTCACAGTGATTCCTCCACGGGCGGCATGTCATCCGGATGGGGAGCCAGCCTCGTACGCTGATGCAACCTACCTTTGTGCACAGGAGAAGGAGTACTGAGGCAGCACAGCCAGTTGGGGTCGCGGTAGAGCACGACAAAAACCGGTGCCCTGTCGTGCACCATCCGCGTCGACACCACCTGGGCATCGCCAGGATCCCGCCCCCGCACTCATGTGGCCCCAAATCAGACAGAGAAAACACGGAAGAGCACCCACCCGGATGTTGACAAACCAGTTCGCCCCAGAGTCGACCACGATCCACGGCGAGCCGCACTCCATCAGTAATTTCCCAAAATCCTGAGGACACCTGGGGGGCCTGACCAGGGTTCCCAGGAATCCAGGGATTTCGCTCCGGGCGTCCGGGTGTCCAGGCCGTTTCTGGGCATTCAGGGCGCCAGGCCGGCCAGTTCACTCAGGGTTCAGGACACTTTCCACACATAGCGGACGCATCCATATAGTACGAAACCAATATATTTGCTAGTCTGATCGGGACAGTAAATGCCATCAACAACCCTCTATGCGTACCATCGCCTCCAAGCCGTCCTCCCCGCGCGCTGCCTCCTGCAGAACACGATCGGCGACGCATGCACCACTGCCGGCTCGCCTAGCGCAGTGCGAAAATCCTCCACCTGCGCACGAACGCACATGGCATGAACACGCTGGCCATCGCACGATCTCCGCCCGGAGCTCCCTCAGCCCTTCGTTGATGAACTCGCTCATCGGCCTCCACCGCCGCTCGAACTCCTCGCGCGCGAACTCAGCGGCAACGGCTGGAGGCACGTCCCGCAGCCGCTTCGGCAGTGTCGAACCCGGTCGGCACACGGAGAGCGTGAGGACGCGGAGCGTCGGGACCGCGTGCACGAAACGGAAGGGGAGCGGACGGAGCGCCTCGACGCGGCGGACCTCCACGGCGCAGATGTCGTTGGCCGTGCCCATGCTCTCCACATGGTTGGTCTGGCGGCTGGGCGGGAAGTGCAGGGTCAGGTGGACGAGCGAGGTGGAGTGGAGCATAGCGACCTACGGGTCCTACGTCGGGGCGGGATATCAGCACACAACACTAGTGAGAAGGATGTAAGACGGACCGTGTACACGTACAAATCGCACTCTGGGCCCTTTACGATCGTGATTTCGAGTGAGCGGAGGTGCGGCGTCACACGTGGAATCACGCCGAGCACGAGGGCGAGTGACTGGCGAGGCGTGTGATGGTAAATACATTGCCGCTCTGTGAACCGTGGGGGGCCGCGCGTCACAGAGGGAGAGTTGTGTGCATGAGGAGAGCTAGTACATACCTCTCTCCTTGAGCGCACGGGCGCCGGGCTGCTGGGGCTGGGGCTGCAGGAGGACGGCGAACGCTTTCCTCACCTGTGCGCAATCGCACCAAGCGATGCAAACACCCGATGTGCGGTGGCATGAGCCCACAACGCGTTCGCCGTGTCCGTCCCGATGAAGCGCGGCGTACCCGCCAGCTGCGGGTGCAGCACGTACACGTGGAACCGCATCGCAGCGGCGTACGCGAACGGCTCCAGCAACTGCATCGGGGCTACGTGTGCACCAGGCGTTCGGGCGTTCAGGTAGGACGAGCTCGAGGGCGAGAACGACCTAGGGGAGCGTAGCGTGCCGGGCGTGTACTCGTGAGTCTGGCTGGAGGGCCTGGGGGCGCTTCGGGTCCGTGCGCGAGTGTGAACGAGGACCAGTCGGTCTTGGAGGTGATCCCACGTGGGTGGGAGAGTGGGAGAGCGAGAGAGTCATGTCTTGTAGCGAGCGTGGCTAGAGAACAATGTGGAATATGAGGAGGGGAGATGGGGGAAGGAAGGAGACACGCGTTGCCGTTTGGCGCCCGCGTCATCCGCCTCTGGAAGACCGGTGGGCGCTGACGCGGACGTCTCGCATCTCCTCCCCTCCTCCTCTCTCACCACCACTCCAGGTACCCCTCGTCTCCTCTCTCCCATCTCTCTTGAGGGAGATGGTCATGGCTATGGATCTACAACCGCCGGTCTCGTTTACCGGGCTCAGCAACCCAACAGATTTTGTTCAAGTGTATGTTCTCCTCCATAGATTCCTTCCGATCTTGCTCTTAACTGCTCCGATCAGCTTAGTTGTTTCTGTACCGGTTCCCTGTGCATCAAGACCGTTTTTTAGACATGGTGAGGATGTATATTTCACTCGAGGGTTTTATCCCCACCCACTCTGTGTGCACGACCCGAACATTCGCAGTAGTCAACCGCCCTTTCTGGAAGCCGAGCCGAAGATCGTGGGCGAAGGGGTGAATATTATAGAAGAAGGTGCGCTGGCCATCCCGTGAATCGCGTCCCAGCGGATGACCTCGCTTCGATTACGACCCCAGTGCTCAGCCCGCACCTCTACCATATACAGCATTGTCTGCGGCCCATGGGGACTTCAAAAATTCCTGCCATGATAATGTGCGTTTCCTTACATCGCTCTCAAGCCCAAACACTGGAACCTGACCTTTTCCGCCTCTACAGTTGCAGAAAGTTCGCGAAATTTGTCTCTCGTGCTTGGGGGGTTACACAGCACGGGTCTGCACGTTCTCTCCCGCGATCACCGCCGCGCATGCTTGGTGGACACAGAGTACGGCCACAGGATGCTCTCGCCGTCGCGCGCGATGCTCGCCATCGCTCTGCAATGCTGCCGGATCGGGCACACACCATGCTGCTGCATCGTGCGCGGTGGGGTCGAATGTGAGCTCGCGCGATGGCACTGAGACGGAGGTGGTGTAATTCGTCGGTCTGAGCTCGCCCACTCCGCCCATGGTGACGGCTCTCAAGTTTCCCGCGTGTTCATCCCACCGCACCCAACGTGTTCATCCCGCCTCGCTCAACACGTCCACGTTCAATAGGTACTATCTGAACATGTAAATAGATCACAACCTCCACGAACGACTGTATTAGGCTGATTAGCAGTCTGAGGCCTGAATCCCTGAGCGCGCCCTGTACGTCCTGGTTCCCCGGGATCCCTGAAATCCCTGAGATCCAGGGATTCAGGGATTCAGGGATTTTGGAAGTTACTGATGTCAGCTAGCTAGCTTGGCGAGCTCGAGAACTGCGTAGTGCGCCCACGGTCGGGTCTACGCCCTCCCCGACCGTTTGCGCCCGTGGTTGTACACCATCTCGCAGTCGTCCGGCCAGTGTGCCGCGCTCGACGGCCTGTGCGAGTGACGTCGGGTCGCGGGCCGTGGCCACAACGCGAGCCGCGGCGGAAGGCGGGGGGCAGTGCTGCTTCCGACGCTCTTCCCAAACCGATAGAGGGGGCACAGGCCATTCCGGAAGCTCTGTCAAGTCGAGGACGGGGATGCCAGTGCGGAAGCCATACTGGCAGGCGTCCAGCGCGAGCCGAAGGTACTTCTTGCGCTCCTTTGGAGGAATGGTCGCGAAATCGAGCCGCATTAAACGGAGCGCGGAGGAGGCCTCATCTGCAGTCATAGGATCCATGGTCAGGGCGTGATGGACGGGAACAAGAGGCGGGACAGAGCTTGCAAGCTGATCGATGTCGATGAACCTCGCCGTGCGTGAGAAGATCGTCACCCACACTCACGGCGCTTTTTCCGAGCGCGCGCGAGGTCGCGACTTCCGGCTTCTCCAGTAAGTACTAGCGTTCAAGACGAGCACGACACAGAGGGAGACGCAGCGTGCGAGTTGCAGAATGAACAGGTGGCGAAGCCTATCGGAGAGATGGCGTACCACCTTCCGTATGTTGACAAAGTCGCCCCCGGCGCCGGCGCCGGCGCAGCCTACGTACCGGCTGCCAGTGTTTGATGGACAGAGCCTGGAGAAGTAGTGCGTTATGGTAGTTGCCCTCAAAACTGGTCTTTGTTGTTCAACTGTTTAAATGTGTATAACGTTACAGCGCTTACCAACCCGTCAAATGCGACGGAGGGTCGATGTCTAAGCATACGCGGTAAGTCCAGTCCCCAGTCCTCTTTGCCCAAAAATACACTCTCTCAGTACGATTACTCCTGCGCTTCTGTATCTCGTCTCCGACCGCCCCAAAACACTCGTTTCCCTCACGGCGAACGGAGAGCAAATGAGAGCGATTGCCGTCGAACAAGATCATCTCCTCGAATTTCTTCACAGCGGCGCCATCGCCAGTTTCGTCTCCCAGAAAAACACGCACGACAAACGGCTTTTCGGTGCGCACCAGGGAGGTTCGTTGGGACTTCAGACCTTGCTTTGATCCGACATCGAGCGCGATCCGTGACATGTCGTTATGCCGAGCAGATGGGTCTTCGAACCGCGATGGATCTAGGTAAACGTAGGTCGCCCGGATGCTGACCCACCGCGTGCCAGTGCGCGGTATGCAACACTTGCGGTGCACACTCCAGCGCGCTCGCTGGCAAGCTGGGTTGAGGAAAGAAGTAGAGACTGAGTACGTGGTGTCCGCGGGAGAAGTGTGCCAGAAGAAATGGCGCACCTTTGCTGCAGAACGCCTCCATGAAACACTGCGTGCACAGCTTAACCCGCACCCGCCTACACACTGCGCACGAGACCACCTGGGCTTTCATCTCCATCAGCCAGGTCAGAGGCGTCAGATCCACTAGTGGGCACAGCGCCGAGAGCCGGTAGCGATCTTCTCCGCCTTGGCGGTTGACCGGGAAGTCGGGCGACACGACGACTTCGTTCATCTTGAGCAGCCTCGCGAAGAGCTTCAACCCGACCGGGTGTACGAGGAACTGGTTCCCCGATTGCCCCCCTATGCCCGCGCGGGGCGGCGGGTCCCATGCGGCCTCCCGACCTTGCGCCATCGCCCAGAAGATGCTCGCCTCCGCCGCGGCCTCGTCGCGGTCCCAGTTGAAGGTGCGGTAGAGCACCACGAGCACCGGCGCGCGGTCGTGTGCCTTCCGAACCGACACCACCTGCACAGAGCCCGGCGCCCGGATGAGGGCCGAGCGCGCACGATGAGCGGGGGGAGGACGCACCCGGATGTTGATGAACTCCGCCTCGGAGTCGAGTACGACCCAGGGAGATCCACAGTCGAATAGCTTCAAGAGCTCGAGGAGCGCGGTCCGCATGCTCGTAAACGGGTAAGCTTCGGAGCCCTGCCGGAAGCGCGGCGAGAACCTGTCGCCGTTGTCGTAGAGCTGCTTGCATTGTTTGGGGTCGCCGCGCTCGGAGGCCTGGACGAGCGACGTTGGATCATGGGTGAGACGTGCTGACAAAGGGCGGTGCGTGTAGTGGTAGTTCCGACGAGCTTTGTAGGACCCGGGAGTGGATTTGGGCCAGGTGGGCAGGTTTGCAAGGTTGGGGACGGGCGCAAGGCGGAAGCCATGCTGACAGGTGTCGAGGGCGAGGCGGAGGTATTTCCTGCGCTCCTGACGAGGAACGGCTTCGATGTCTACCCCCATCGCACGGAGTGCGGTCGTAACTTCGTCCAAACTTGGAGGATCCATGACGGAAGCGTGGTGGATGGGAGCAGAAGGCGAAGGCGTTGCCGATGAAAAGACGACAATGCTGATAAGATAATGCAGCGGGTGGCCGGCCCGGTTGCGCCTGGCTCGACACCTCACCCTCAACTTGTATTCACTCACTATTCCTCTCGCACAGTCTCCTTCATCATTTCGAACTGACATCCCAGGAGATACAACAGGATACAACGAATCCGGATACCATGACAACAATGTTCCGACAGATCTGCAGTCGGCCTCTCATACGTTCTTACATACGGAGGATTGGGGGGTCAACAATCAGAGCCCGACCGCAATGCGGAGTGCGGCGTAGTTGGGGGTCCCGAGGCCGGTGACGGGGTCCCAGCCAACCGTGGCCGGGAAGCCGTCCGTGCCGCAGCCGGGGTTCGAGCCCGAGGTGACGTCCGTGAGCGCGGCCGCGCCGGCGGTGGAGTACAGGAACGGGTTGAGGAAGCCGAGCGGGCTCTTGCCGGCGGCGATGAGCTCGTCGTTGAGGAGCGCGACCACGGACGCGAAGGTCGGGGCCGAGCACGAGGTGCCGTTGGTGAGGACGGGCTGGGCGTCCAGCACGATCGAGAAGTTCACGCCCTGCGCAGAGACGTCGGGGAACCCGCGGCCGGTGGCGTTGAACCTGCCCGCGTTCGTCGAGCCGAGCGTGGAGAGGTAGGAGGACACGGCCGAGGACTGGTACCATGGGCGGCCGAAGACATTCGAAAAGCCACCGGAGGTGAAGTCCGCCGCGGTCTCGACGATGCCAGTCGTCGCACCGACGGAGGTGACGTAAGGGCAGCCTGAGGGGAACGAGGGGATGAAGACCGTGCAGTTCTCGAACTGCGCACCGAACTGCGCACCGGCGACACCACCGTCGCCGGAAGAGAAGAGGATGGACGTTCCACGCGCGCCGAGAGCCATGTAAGCGTTGCAGATCGACTTCGCCATCGACGGGCTCAGGTCGGTCTCGTTGACGCCATACGAGGTCGAAAGGATGGTCGGGGTCGTGGACATGTTGAGGAAATAGTTGATGATGTCGAGGCCCCCGAAGGCACCGTCGCTGATTTCGTCGCCAACGGATACGAACGTGACTGGGACGGGGGACGCGAGACCAACGGTGTACTGGATGTCGAGGTTGGCCTCACTACCGGCGCTGCTGCGCGGCGTCTGCGGGTTGCTGCCACCGTCGAGGGTCTGGAGAGCGAAAGTTGTCGAAGAGGAGAGATCCTTGCGGAATGTCGAGAGGAAGGACTGAACAATTCGAGTAAGTCTCGAACAGGCATTAATAGTAATGGGCCCGTGAGTAGAAGCACGCACCTTGAGATCCGCCTCGTTGGCCCACATGTCGATAAACCCGCTCACGGCGAGGACGTTAGTTTTCTCGCCGATGACCGTAGTTGGGATGTCGTACATGGCCTGGAGACAGGCGGGGGTGACGATCGACGCGCACGAGTAGGGGACCCCGCGCGAGGTGAGGTTGCCGTTGGACGCTGAGGGCTGCGCCCGAATAGCCTTAAAAGCTGCCGCGGGCGAGGCGATCGCGAAGCTGGCGGAAGCAAGTCAGGATCCGCACAGTGTGCACAAAGGAAAGATGACGTACGTGTTGCTCGGGTGGATGACATCAATGTGCGCGGCGAGGTCCTCCGGGACGGAATACGAAAGCGTGCGGAGAAGCTCCCGGCCGCCGGTGTGCTTGAAGACCGTATAGTCCGCATCGAAGAGCTCGTTTGCTTTGCTGACCGGCACGTCGAAGCTAAGCCAGTCGCCTGCGGGGGACGCGCTGGACGCCTCGATGTCGTTCTCTTTTAGCCACGCGGTCACGGCGTCAAGTGACTCCGCCTTCAAGGGTGCGGTGTAGCTCTCGAGCTGACGAGTGACAGGTCAGCCCTCACACACGGGAGAGCACGTCGATCGCGCGATGGACGTGCCTCCTCCTTGCTGAGGTGCTGGCCATAGAGGGCGTTGCCGGGCGTGGAGACGTCCATGAGTGCCTTCTCGAGCCCGGCAATGTCGTTCTGGGCGACCTGGACCTTGACGGTGAGCACCATGTCCGCGGGCGCGGCGCCGAGACTCGTGAACGCGGTCGGAGCGGCCAAGCGTACGTCGTGCACCTGCATGGTGCGGGTGGTTGCCTTCGCGTACGCGATAGCGAGGATGGTGATGCTGACGAATACGCGGGAGAACATGGCAAGTAGGGCGGAGGGGCAGTGAGGATTTGGGCGAGTAAGGGCGAACTTGTCTGTGTGGGGTAGGATGCGTGTGTGCGCGACTTTATACCCTGTGCGCCCGCGGTGAAGCACGGCGAGCGAGACCTAATCCCTAGGCGATCGCAGTATCCTCCGCAGCCTCGGCCACGTTCCCGGAGGCAATAACGGAGGATTGCATGGCGTCGCCGCGCAGCGAGAAGATGTGACACATCGTCCCAATTCAAGGCAGCGTAGACCTGCACACTGTGCTTGCCAGAAGACGCCGCTGCGCTGGGTGAGTTCAAAGGCATGAAAAATGAAAGCTGATATCTTACAGGCTCATGAAACCCTTCGGTCGTCTCTTGAATCCTTGCCTCGCGGGGTCGCAGGTTCACGTACCCTGGCACCCACAACTCCGACGCCCCGGTCGAAGTCTCGACGTCTGCACTCTGGTGCAGGCGGTCGTCCGCAGCACTGACGGATGAGTTCACGGTATAGAAGATAGTACGACACTCGCGTCAACTGGTCTTTCAGAAAGGTCAGCATCTGAACAGCGCGGCTGTGGACGTAGACTCACTCTGCGGAGCGAGTAGGTAAAGAATGTCCAAGCGAAAGCGGCGCTGATGAGCTACTGACCTGTTCGCCAACTTGCAATTGAAAGCGGCCGCGCGCGACCAGTTTTTGCCATAGAACGCCCGCAAGCGCTGCTATCATTGTTCCCACCGCGTGTACGCAGCGGCGCCACTCTCTTCATGCGGCGCATGCGGAGTCAGTAAACAAGCGGGGGTTCGACGGCGGTTGAAGCCGCGAGACCACCCGACGTCGATCGCGCGCACGGTGAAACGCGTCATCCACCACGAAGCGGGACGTGCCGCGGCGCCTGGAAGATAGACGGGGCATACGAGCTGAGTTCAGAAAGGGCAAAAAGCAGTTCAGCGTCATGTACAATAGTGTATCAATCCACGTCCGCGTTGAGAATGCAAACGCAGTTCCCGTCGCACCAGTTGAGCTCCGCCGCCGGGACATGGTCCACACAGAGCAGATACGACATCTCCCTCGCCCGCTTTGCCCACCGGTACACCACCTTCCCGCCGTGCCCGCCGCGAGGCCCGCGCATCTCCCCGACGAGCTGCGCGAAGAGCGCCTCGTCGTGCCACTGCGCAAAGCAGAACTCGAACGACCGCCGCCGGTCGCCCACGAACATCCGCCACGGCTTCCTGTCGCCGTCCGGGATCGCGATCCGGACGACGAACGGCTTCACGCCCCACACGTTTCGAGGGACCTGCCCATCGTACTTGGGCAGGAAGCGCTCGCCGGCCAGCCTGCGCAGGCCCGCAGTCTTGTCCGCATCAGCCGGCAGGCCAATGAGCTCGGGTCGCGTCCAGATCCAGTCCTCGCGCGCGCGGAGGACGGCCCAGTGACCCTTGGACGGGCGCGGGACGCAGCCGGGACGGTGCGTCTTCCAGTGCGCGTACTGGCACTCTGCACGGCGGAGGAGGGGGCGAGGGATGAGAACCAGGGAGGCGAGACGGGGTGGATGCTCACTGGTACTGCAGTACGCCACCGCGCGACACCGCGCGCACTCCTTCACCTCTCCGCTTCCACACATGACGCACACCCAGCGAGCGCTCAGCTCTGAGGTGGTGTCGTCCAGGAGAGGGCCACATGGGAAGAGCACCGAGACCAAGTAGTCTTCCTCGCCCGGCTCGCGGCGGATGGGTAAGGAGTCGGGCAGGAGGCGCTCGTTCATCGGCAGGAGGACGGATAGTAGGATCTGGAGCGTGATCCTGCTGAGTGGGAAGGTATTGCCGCGCTCCTTTGGGTTGGGAGAGTTGAGGGGAAACCGTGCGTCTTGCTTGCGGGCCCACTCCTTTCCCTCTTGTATCTTCGAAGGGTCTGATGGCCCATACGCGCGATAGAGAATAACGAAGGCGGGGATGTCACCCCGCATCGCGCGCATGGTTGCGACCTGATATAGAGTCTCAGGTTTGTGGGGCGAGGTCTTCGGGATGAGATGGAGCAGAGAGACTGAGCACGCACCCGAACGTTCACAAACACATCCTTGTCCTCGTCCTGATGCCACACCACCCAGGGCGTCCCACAATCCACGAGAAAGGCCAGCCTCCTGATCGCAAAGCGCACATAGAGGTAAGCCAGACGCTTCTGCCCTCTGTCTTCCATGCCGCGACAGCTCTCCATCAAGGGGACGATGTCCACCGTGGGGCCGCGCTCGCATTCGAGAGAGATGGGCTTCTCATTCGGGTCGCCGGCCGCGTAGTCGTCCTCGCTGAAGATGTTTAACCCGCGCTCGGCGGGCTCTACATATGCGGCTCGGCATAGCTTCCTAGTCTTTTCAGAGAGCTTCTTCCACTCGGTGGAGGACTTCAAGAGGTCATAGAGCGGCGGGAGGCGATGGATGTACTGCGCGTATCTGAGGGCCGCCCGAAGACGCGATGAGAGAGCTCCGTCGCGGAAGGTGGTGTCTCCCGGAGGCGTTTTGATGTCCATAGACTCGAGGAATATCAGGACCTCGCGCGAGGTGAGACCTTGGTATTCGATATTTTTCATGGACGAGTTGGTGGAATCGACAGAATCTGACATAGGTCGGGATTAGAGTAACAGATGATATTTTACAGAGCAATCGGGAGCAATACACCTCACATAGTCGTAGGATAGGTGTGCTATGCAGCAGTCGGGGAAAGAGGATGGAGAAGTGGAGAGAGGAGAGAGAGAGAAGCTTTGAAGCAGCGTGTAAATGCGGAATCACAATGATCTCCACCATCGCTGCACGTGATTCGCGTCCAGTCGCGTCGCTCGAAGCCATGTGTGGCGCGCGACGGGCCTCGGCGACGTGTCGCACCACCACCACCACCACCACCACCACATCTAGGTCTCGCACTCGTCTCGCAACTGCATGGACGGTATCCTTCTGACACGGGAGGAAAAAGGAGCCGTGCTTGAACACATGGAGGTGCACCCCACCGTCCCTCGCCACGCACAGACGGCGTTCCTCCGAGCCGCGCTCGACAGCGCACAGTACGGCTTCCGCGTCCGCCCCACCTTCAACCTCACAGCACTCCCCGAATGGCCGAAGCCCACCCCTTCCCTCGCGCAGGCCCGCAGGATACAGCACTACACACGCCAACTCAACGACGCGCACGCGGATGAAGACCCGACTTCTCTCGCACAGGCCGTCGAGCGCGGGCCCCGCAAGCTTTCCAGGGACATTTACTTATGCGCGTCCAAGCATTCCCCTCGTTTTTCGCCCGCCGCAGCGACGAACCCGGCCATCAGCACACGGATGGCGCTCCTCGAGATTGCGAAGCTCACCGATTGTGGCGCCCCATGGATAGTTCTTGACTCCTCTAAGGGATGGATGGTGCGGATACGGGTACGTCTCTCGGATTTCTGATTCTCGCGCGGCGGCGTCTTATAGGTCAGTCTGGACGTTCAGGTGGTGTCGGTACGAAAGGCGCACGACCGTGGCCCGGTGTTCGTGCTGCTCTACCGAGTTTTCGGTCGGCACGACGCGGTCGTGACAGAAGATTCCGCGTGGACGATCGCGCAGGAACGCAAAGCGCTACTTCCACCCGAGCCATCGACTGAAAACCGGTTCTCCGTGCACCCAACTGCGATGAAGTTACTCCTCAAGCTCCTCCGCATGAACGCTGCCGTCGTGCCCGCAGACTTCCCGCTGCAACGCGAAGCGACGGACGAAGGGTATGCTCTCTCAGCGCTCCAGCCCATGGGACACCTGGACCACCGCTCGCTCGTCTGGATTGAGCAGCGGCTCTCCTGTGAGGTATGCGGGAGGAAGCCGGTGAAGGAGTGCACTCAGTGTTCCTTGGTCGCATACTGCTGTAAAGGTGCGTCTTCGTCTGCCATAGAAAGTTCAGCTGCTACACCGGGCTATCCAGAGTGTCAGCGCAAGGATTGGGCTGTGCATCGGGGTCGGTGTGTCCCGCGTACGGGAGGCCTTTGGGGTACCATTCGGGCGCAAACCTACTGGACCGAGCCTTCGCGCTTTGGGTCGTGGCGACACACTACCGACTGCACTGAACCAATCGATCTGCCCGATTGTGGCTCTGAAGGCCTCGCTATGGACAGTAGCGCATCGTCTCCGGATAACAGCAGAGGGTTTATTGTGCGAATGTGGCTCCAAGAGGATACGTTCGTGATGTTCGACATCAGCCGATGCATGATGTTCTCCTGTTGGGGCGACCGAGATTGCGAGTCGTACAGGGAGATGGTGTCCGAGATGAAGATACGCGGAAGTGATGTATCTCAAGGGAGGTATCGTTGGGCCAAAAGGACCGGGGATTGGACATATCATATTCTCATGGACCGCGAACCTCCGCAGGACATGACAGACTCAATAGAACGTGATCCACTATGATGGGTGTTGTACTCCATCCCTTAGCCGTCTGTGTGCGTTCCAGTTTGACGAAGACTGGCGGAGGTTTCGCATCCTCGCACGATAGCTCCGCGATCTTATGTATTAGACCTCAGCGGTCCGGATTGCGCAAATGTGGACTCTATTCTGCACATGTTTTACAGCTAAACTACATTTGCAACACCTTTACCACTGAGTCCCTGTTGTAGGCGCGCGATCGAGACAGACATTGAACGTCCAGTCGCCCGTCCGCCGTGCCCAACGATACATCTTCAAGCCCTCGTGCCCACCGCGCGGCCTGCGCACCTCAGCAAGGAACTCCGCAAACAGCGTCGGGTCATCCTGCTGCACAAAGAACACCTGGAACGACCGCTTGCGGTCGTACATCATCAAGTGCATTGGCTCGTCCGTCCCGAGCTCGACCTGGAACTTGACGAGGAACGGATGGGTGCCCCATACGTTCGGCGGGACGCGCGAACCCAGGGAGCCCATGTCGTGGAACATCGGCTTCTTGCGCCCGTCGGGACCCTGTTGCAGTGCGTGTTGATCGTCGTCGGCTGCACGTACGGCTGCTTCGCGTGCACTTCGCGCATCTCGGGCATCGCGTACAGGTAGTCGTCCGTCGTCCGGACCGCGCACCACCGCCCGCCCGCGATGGGTACGCAGTTCTGCTTGTGCTTCGTCCAGTCCGCGCGCTGGCAGTCTGCCGGGACACGCGTCTGGGCGTGCCGACGAAGGAGGGTTGCTCAGAGGGATACTCACCTTTTCCACAGTAGCGTATTGCCTGGCATCGAGTACAGAACATCGAGTTGCTCTTTCCGCACACTGCGCATTCCACCCGCTCGTTCAATTTCGCAAGAACGTCTTGCTCCAAAGGTCCGATGGGTAAGAACAGCGAGACCTGAAAATCTTCTTCATCCGGCTTGCGATAGACAGGGAAGTCATCGGGGACCAGAGCAGAGTTCATCTTGAGCAACTTCAAGAACAGGTTCCGCGCGTCTGCATCCCCGACGAGGTGGTTGAGCGATCGGAGACCAGAATGCGGGTCGAGGGGACACTCCGTCGCCTCCCTGAGTGCCCACTCCATCGCTTCGTCTCTGGCTTCTCTCGTGTAGATCCGATATAGAAGGATGAACGCAGGCGACATCGCGTGTATTGTGCGCACGGAAATGACCTGCGATGCCAAACCGTCAGTCGACAAGTCCCTCACTGGGACGGGTGAGTCTCGAGGACGCGCATATAGTCAACCCTGACAGCAACCCTTCGTCCCGCATACATCGTCTATGCTCTGCGGCTTCGGCGCGCACTGCGCGGATAAAAAGAGCTGTAGAACCACTGAGGTTACGTACCCGAATGTTGACCGCCTCCGTCTTCGAGTTGCCATCCACTAAACACCATCCCGAGCCGGAGTCGACGAAGTTGACGAGTTGCCTGACGAGGTCCCTCATGTTCATGAACGGGTTTTGGTAAAGCTTCTCAAGTTCTTCTCCTTTAGCCTTCAACGTGGACAGGTACACCCGGCTTTCGTGGAAGTTGGAGCGCAGGATGGCCGCTGCGAGCGACGTCGGGTCTGGGATGATGGGCTCGGGCTTGGCTCCTGGCGCTGTAAAAGGAAAACACAGTATCCTGCGGCGCCTCGCCAGATCTGGGGTAGGACGGGGCCATTCTGGAAGCGATTTTAAGTCGTGGCGGGGAAGAAGGCGATCCTTGGACTGCGCAGCGTTGAGTGCGGTGCGTAGCCGTTTGTCGAGCGCGTCGTCCGGAAGCGGGGTGTCGCCGGGGATGTCGATGCCCATCGCGCGAAGCGCGTTCAGGGTCGCTTTGCGGGACAAATGGTCCATTTTGGGAGTCTATGCTAGTGGAAAAAGAGAGAGTGCAGATGAGAGGTGCTACTTCGAGGCGGACAGGGACAAATTGCAAGACTTCGACGCTGGTCACGTGAGCGTGATGTCATACTGTTCGAATCCGCCAGATGTCGAAAAACCGATCTGAGTAATTAACCAGAGTAAGTCGAAACATGCACGTAGGCCGGAGAAATAGTACATTCGTGAAGAATATTATTCGAGATACATTCCGTCTGTTTGCCGTGTCCAACCATCTTGTCCTTGCGCTCACCACCTTGTCTCTGCAATGCTGGGCGCGCGGTCCAAGCAGACATCGAACGTCCAGTCCCCCGTACGCTTCGCCCACCGATACATCTTCAGTCCTCCAAACCCGCCCCGTGGCCCTTGTATCTCCGCGACAAAGTCTGCGAACTGCGAAGGGTTCTCGTGTTGCATGAAGAACACCTTGAACGACTGCTTGCGATCGTCCATCACCATATGCTGCATCCCAGCTTGGAACTTGACGACGAACGGCTTCTCGCCCCACGCGTTCGGAGGGACAGAGCTCAGGTTTCGCGTCCTCTTCTGCGGGCACGGATCCGGGTCGATCAGATTAGCGTGCCTGTTTATCGTCATTGTTTGCCAGTTGCGACGGTCAGCAGAGCTGCCACGGAGCTCCGGGATGGCGGACGCCAGGTCGCCAGTCGCGCGGATACTGCACCACCGGCCGTTGATGAGTGGGACGCAGTCCGGCTTGTGGTTCTTCCAGTCTGCTCGCTGGCAGTCTGGGGGCGTGCGAATCAGAACAGGCGCGACGCACACGAACCGCCGAATTCGGAACGGGGCACTCACCTGAACTGCAGTAACGCACGATCTGGCAGCGACTGCAGCGCGACGCGCCCTCCTTGCCGCAAACAGCGCATCCGAAGTTGTTGTTCAACTTGGCTAGGGACTGTTGCTCTAGGGGACCGACTGAAAGCAGCATCGAAACTTTGAAGTCCGCCTCGTCCGGCTTGCGCTCGATCGGGAAGTCCTTCGGGACAAGGGGCTCGTTGAGCTTGAGCAACTGGAGGAGGAGCTTCCGGGATACGGCGGTCGTGCTGAATCGGTTCAGCCTAGAGGGAGCCCTTGGATCCAACGGCGAGTCTTTCGATTGTCGGTGACACCATTTCATACTCTCTCGCTTTTGTTCTTTGGAGAAGGCGCGATAGAGAACGACAAGCACGGGTCCTCTGTTGTGCATCTTGCGGATGGAAACCACCTGAAAGACGTTTTCAGCGTCCAGGGGCGTCCTGCGCATGCGAAGGAAAGGGAAGCTCACCCGGATGGCTACGAACTCCTCCATCAGCCCCTCGTCCACCACGGCCCACCCCGACCCGTAGTCGCAGAATTTGACGACCTCAGTGAGCACCATCCGCAGGCAAATGAACGGGTTCATGTACAGGTTCTCCGCCGCGTTCGGGTCCATCCTCTTCGCCGCGTCCAGCTGCTCCATCTCGTGCATGTTCCCGCGCATCATCGCGTTCGTGAGCGACGTCGGGTCACGGCCGGAGTCCCCACCACGGCGGCGTGCAGCGAGCGCGGGTGACGGCTTCGGCCACTCCGGCAGGGACTGGAGGTTGAGCGGGTCCGGGAGGCGGTCTTTGTACTGCGCGGCGTGGAGGGCGTCTTTGAGGCGTTTGTCCAGCGCGTCGTCGGGAAGCACCGAGGTCTCGGGGATGACGACGCCCATTGCGCGGAGGATGCTGAGTGTTTCTTGGCGAGAGAGAGGCTCCGTCATGGGCGAGCACATGAGTGCCATGAGTGCGGCGGGGTCCATGTCCATGTCCATGGTGTGAGGTATGTGGTGGAGGAGATGAAAGAGCGGGATGCCACTCGCAAGTCGCAAAAGCGCTAGTCCGGCCCGGTACAAATGCGGTGAACTCCGACAAATGATAGTGATCGCAAGGACAACGGCATAGCAGGTTTAATGAACACAGCGACCCTACAAATCATACTCAGCTTCGTCAAAGTCGCCAAAGTACCAGTTAGCCTCGATCCGCGCCCGGTCCTCGTCCGACTCCGCGGCCTCCAGCATGAGCTGCTTCAGCTCAACCGCGCGTTTCATCGACTCTTCGTACCTCTCCGCCGGCATCCAATCCGTGTCAGGTCCCGCTGCCCCGAGCATCGTACGAACCGACCCCCGAAGGCCGTCCGCTTCCTGAATCTCAGCGCTTCTTTTCGTCGTCCTCGCCACGTCGTCCACGTCGAAGACGACGGGGCACGGCGCGCCCCTGGGTCCAGAGAACACGTCCCACCACCCCGCCGCTCTGACGAGAGTCGCCTTGAGCTCGTGCGGCTCCCCACACCACGGCTGGCCAGCGTGGTAGAACAGGTTACCGCGGAGCGCGTTCCCAGGCTCCGTCAGCGACGCCGTGTGGTCGTCGTTGCTGACCTGCGTGTGTCCCGCGTAGTAGTAGTGCACGAGACGGCGACGGTAGCGCTCCCGCGCTTCCTCTTGTTCGTTCTCCCCGAGGTCGGCGAAGTCGTCCGGGAGCCTCGGCCGGACCATCTCCCTCGAGGCGGAATCGTCGGAGTTGTCGAACGAACGAGGGACGCTGGACTGGAGGAACAGCGGCCGGACGGTTGTGTACTGCCAGTCTATGAGGCCGACCACGGTGGGCCTGCTGGCATCATCGTGCGACGACACGACCATGATGTTCCTCGGGCTGAGATCCGGGTGGCGGAGGCAAAAGCGGCCGAGCGCTGGGTCGCGCGGGGTCAGGAAAGGGATCAAGCGGAGGTACGCACGCAAATTGTTCGCGTGGTCCGATGGCAGCTGAGGCTGGAAGTCGTAGTACTCTCGCTTGAAGCGGTTCAGTGGTAGGAGCGGGCGTCCGTAGTCACGCAAATATGCGAGCTCCTTCTCGGCCGGGGCTGTTAAAACAGCTTCCACGGTGCCATCTGTGTGTGTGTCAGTCGAGCGTATCACAGCACAGTAGGCGACTTACATGGGCCTCGATCAACGTTAAGCTCCGCTCTTCGACCCTGCCAAAAACAAATGTCCAACTCTGGACCGATGCAGAAGCGGGGATCCTTCAATTTGATACCGCGGACAGCGGGCCCGGGGGCATTCGCGAGGTCTTCGGAGAAGTACACACCCCCGCATGCGGGGAACTCGAGCGCCATCATCTTCGCCTCGAGGTCCACTAACTCTCGCATGAAAGAGGCGATCTCCTTCTTCCCGAGGTCGTGCCAAACGTCGCCCAAATCTGTACCAGGCATACACTCCATGAAGATGTACTCTGTGCGCGTTGGGTTGTCCGCGGTGGGCGAGTATCCGTAAACCTGGGGAACAGGAAGCCCGGCTGAGCGGAGCAGCGAGAGCGTCGCCACTTCGCTTGCGACGACGAGGTACTTGGCGTGGACGACGGGGTATGGGATGCGGGCGATCATCTGGAAGTTGTCGTCCATGGTGATGCGGAAGACGCGGTTGGAAGTGCCCTCGGCCAGCTTTTCGAAGCGGATGATGTCGCTGGGACGCCGGCCCACGGAGTCCGCTGCGAGCCTGCACAACTCGTGCACATCAAACATGCGTATTCGCTCTTCACGGCGACGGGCGTCGTTGAAGCTGTATCTAAGTAGTCAAACACGAAGCTTCAAGACTAAAGATGACGGAGAGCTCACAGCCAACGCCCGGTTGTGTCTTCAAACCATTCATTATGGTTCTGCACAAAACTTGATAGGGCTCGAGTGGTGCTACTACTACCCACGCAAGGGCTTGGTGCAGAACGGGAACTGTGTCCGAGACGAAAGGAATTAAACTGTTGGAGTGTCTGCAGCGGGAAGGAAGGCCGGGAGAAGCTTAGGGACCATCTTTTCCGTCCAATACCGCGCATAGAGCCGCATGAAATGCGGTAAAATTGAATGTTGGGAGGAAAGAGACTTTGGAGAGGTGGGAGTTGGCTTGGAGTGGGAGCTGGAGCGCTGGGTGATGTGGCATGCAGCAGACGCGTCGCGTCACATTCACGTGATACAGTGGTGACATTGCTCCGGTGCTGCGTTGAACTCGGATGCGCGCGATTCGGTTATTCTTCACCTTTACCCTCTTCTGTATCGGGTATGATCTTCATGCTATCGCACAGGGGGTCATTTTCGCCAGAGAAAATTGTATCCCTGCTGGGGAAAACCTTGACATTTCGGAGGTGCGCGCCGCAGATGTAACCGGTTTCAGGCATAAAGCTCGTGTTTGTCAAGCACTGAATTCGCGACTCGCGAGCCGGCGCGACTCAGGCCGCTCGGTGTCCCCTCCACGAATGAAGAGGAGTAGCCTGACTCGGTGATGTTTTATCGGTTCCTTGGCACTACTGTGAACAATCGAGAAACGGATGACGCCGGTCATCGAGTGACGAGCACGAGCATGAAGTGCTTGCCTGCCCGGACAAAACGCGCCAAGTATGGTAGACGGAGAGTGCACATACGATCTATGAAAGGCCGTACAATTACATTCGTGTTCGTCGTCATCTGCGCTCATTGACCCCGCTCTGCCTTCCCCAGCGCTTCGAAGTCTGCTGTGAATTCCTCCATCGCGTCCAGTGTCTCCGCCAGGTGCGCGTACCCGAGGCCCTCCTCCCGGCTCAGCGCGAGCGACTGCGCCGTCCGGCACGCGTTCTTGATCTGCCGCCCGTTCACGTTCCGCTCCGCCAGCCGCTGCACCAGTTTCTCGCCCACCGTTGCCTCCGCCACCCCCGCCTTGCGCAGGAACGTCCGCCAGATCTGGGCGCGTATGTCGACCGAGAGCTCCGAAAAGTGCAGCGCGACGTGGATGCGGGACAGGAACGCCTCGTCGAACGCGGTGATCCGGTTCGTGGTGAGGAAGAGGATGCCGCGGTAGTACTCGACGTGGCGCAGGAAGACGGCGACCATCGCGTTCCGCTCGAGGTCGTGCATCGACCGCCGCTCGAGGAACACGTCCGCCTGGCGCGCAGTCGCCAGTCAGCGTGCAGGATCGTCCGGTCGGCGCAGAGGGGACGCACCTCGTCGATCAGCACGATCGCCTTCCAGCTCGTCGCGATGTCGAAGACCTTCTCGAGCTCGGCGTCGAGCCCAGCGGCGGTCGTTCCAAGGTCGCCGCCCCCGACTACGTACAGCGGCCGGCGGACGCGCTCGCTCGTCGCTTCCGCAGACAGCGTCTTTCCCACTCCCGGAGGGCCGAAGAGGTTGATGATGAGGCCTTGGCCCTTCCCTCGGACAAAGTCGTCGAAACCGAGGTTGGCGTGGTGCGCGTCGACGAGCGAGCGTAGCAAGTTCTTGCGATCAGCCGTGAGCACCAGACCGTCGAAAGCCTCGTCGTTCCACGAGATCGGCTGGATGTTGGCTACGTTGAACTCGACTGGATGCGCGACCTCGATAAGCGCCAGTCGCACAGAAAGGAAAGATCCACGTACGCCAGATCTTATCAGCGAAGCCGAACCCGTAGAGGACCGGGGAAGCCAGCATGAGCTCGTCGTCCGTGAGCGGCACGTCTTCCTCAAGCTCGCGGTGTGCGCGCAGTTCCAAACGAGGGGCGTTCGGGTCGACCATTAGATGGTTTTGGAGGTTCACTTCTTCCTCGGTCTGTGGCACTGCCGCCGTTGGCAGCGAGTAATTGGGGTTCATGCGAATGAAGTTCCCTAGAAGGAATGGTCAGAGCTCTGCAAGACTGGTGCGGCCAAAGCATGCTCACCTCGGTCGATCATGACGCGCGACGTCACCTATTGAAGCAGACCCTGAGCCATGCGAACCGATCTTCGACACAAGGCACTTACATTGAACTTGATCGCCTTCCTTTTCCCTCCAAAGGTCTCCACGTTCCGAGCAGCCGTGCCCTCATGGTACATGTGGTGCACGCCGCGCATGGACACCCACATCCGACCGCGCTCGATGAGCGTCTTTTTCAGCTCGTCCGGGCTGTGGTGGTACTGCAGCGGGAACACCTCGAGCGAGTTGATCTTCACCGTCCCCTTGAAGAACGGGATGACGACCTGGTTCTGGATGCGCCCGAATGCCCGCGTGCCGCCCTCGCTCGGCATGCCTGACGGATCTGCAGACGGGGAGCGCTTGACGCCCCTCCAGTTCGAGTTCGTCCGCGCGTTCTCAGCCTCGCGCCCGGAGAGCGCGCCCTCCTCGGTCGAGTCCACGCTCTCACACACGAGCACGTATGCCGAGCACATGCCGGCGCCGACTTTCGTCGCGGTGAGCAGTTGCAGCGCGCGGGGCTCGTCGGTCGTTGGGCAGTCGGTGACGACGATCGTGCGCGGGACGAGGATGGAGTACAGGAGGTCGAAGGTGATCTCGCCGTGCGTGACGAGGCTGTGGATGCGGGCGAGCGTGGCGCGGTAGTCTTTTCGGAGGTACTCGAGCAGGACACCGACCGTGGGGAGCACGTGTTCCTCCTCCGTAGTGCGACGGGCGCCCTTGTCGCGGAGTGCCAGCTCGTAGGACTCGAAGTCGGGGAAGAACGAGAGGAGGAGCTGGGGATCGAGCTAGCGAAGAAAAAATAGAGCGTTAGATGGCAACAGCCAGCGTGGGTAGCGTTACTCACCTCGAGCGGCTCCGTAGTCCAAGATAGCCCGTTAATGTCGCCCATGACGTCCTTGCATGCTTTGAGCAGGTATGGGCTTTTGACGACGACTTGGAAGGTGGGATCGGGGTTCATGAGCTTCTGGTGCTCCTCGGGCATCTTGCGTACGACCACGAAGCAGAAGCTCTGCCAGGGGTCGTTGTCGGACCCGTTTCCGACGGGGTGCGCAACCTCCGCCACGACCCCTGAGCCGGTGTTGCGATACTTCCACGACTTCGACCACGAGCTCCAGTAGTGGTCGACACGTTTGACCTTTAGGTTTGGGGGAGGGAGGGGAGTGTCCGGCTGGGGTGGATCGACTTGGCCGTTCGTACTCTCATCGTTGAGAGCGTCCGTGTCGTCAGTCTTCTCCGAGGGCTGCCTGAGCATCGAGAAACGAGAACCGCGAGATTGGGAGAAGTAGCGACGCATGGTGGAAGCGGGGTGGGAGTGAGGTCCACCGATTCATGTCCCCGCGCGTATATATGCTGTCCGCTCGCGAAGTCCAGACTGTCTTCGCAAGGTTCTACTGCGAGCGGCTGCAGCCCACCCGATCGGTGGCGCAATGACCGCCCAAGGACAGGTGTCCTTGGTTCCCATGGCGTGTACGGCGGCGGATGTGACTCGAGGCATTGCACAACTTTCCATTCTAGGAGTCTGCCGTGGGATGTCAGTCTTTCAATTTCAACTGAACAGCCTCCGCCACTCACACAGGCAGGCGCGAAACTACATGGATCGGAGACATTCTTCTTGGAAGGACCGTCTGATTGACGGAAGGAATGACATGCTCCTACCACATCACCGTCATCGTAGGCTCCCGATCCATGCAAATACTAAACTCCCAGTCGCCCGTGCGCCGCGCCCACCGATACATCTTGATACCCCCGTAGGGGTTGCTCGGCTGCAACATCTCCGTCACGAAGTCCCTGAACGCCTCCGGGTTGTCGAGGGGAACCATGAAGACTCGCAAAGACCGCTTGCGGTCGTACATCATGATGTCTTGCGGGCTCGTGCCTCCTAGGCCGACTTGCAACTTGAGCAGGAAGAGCTTGTTGCCCCACACGTTCGGCGGGATGGGCATGTCCTTCAGCTTCTGGATGCCATCGGCATCCTCCATGCGAGGGCGGTCGTACTTGTTGAACGTGATCATGTACAAGTCCTCCGTGCCGGGAAGGCATGAACGGACGACGACAGTACGCCAGGACCCGCCTTTCAGGGACTTGCACGTCTGCTTGTGCTCGCCCCAGTCGGCACGTTGACACTCTGCGGCGACAAGGTTCGGAAAATGCTTTGCGCGAAAAACGAAGCACATATACGCACCTTGAGAACAGTACGACACGGACTGGCACTGTCCACACCGACTCGCCTTCGGCGCACCGCAGATGTAGCATCCGGCGTCGTTGTTGAGCTTTCCGATGGAAGTGAAGTCGAGGGGACCGAGGGGTAAGATGACTGAGAGCTTGTATGACTCCTCAATGGCCTGTCGATCGACGTCAAAGCCGGCGGGGAGGCACGACGCGTTTGCAGCGAGCAGCCGCAGGAACAGCTTCTGCTCTATCGGCGTGGCGTATATCTGGTGGAGGCTGCGGACACCATCCGCGCCGATGCGTGCCTGGGCTTGGGCCCAAGCCATGCCCTCCATCGCATTCTCGCGCGTGAAGGCCCGGAAGAGGACGACTATGGCCGGGGCGCTCTCTGTGGCGTACACAACAGAGACGATCTGGCGATGGCGCCGTTGCGATGAACATCACGCAGCAAGTGCGAGAGATGAGCGAAAAGATACACACCCTTACGTTTACCGCACACTGCTGCTGCTTCGGGTCGTGGAGGATGAACGCCTTGTGACCGGCGTCGAGGTTGTTTGCGACATTCATGACCGTCTGGCGTAGGTCCGTGAAGACATCCTTGTAAAGATCGGGCTGAGCCTTGTTCCCGGTGAGGGCATTCTGGAACGCTTCGCCCAAGTTGCTCCTTTTCATGGCCTCGAGGAGAGACTGTTTGCTCTTGCGCGCACCCGCGGAGTTCTCTTTGGACGAGGGTTGGTCGAAGAGGGGCCACTTCTTCATCTTTTCGACGTCGAAAGTGGGTGGGAGGGTGTCCTTCTCCTGTGCGAGATTGAGGGCATCACGAAGACGTTTCGAGAGCTCGTTGTCGGGCAGCTTGGTGTTTTTGGGAAGCTCGACCCCGATGGAGCTCAAAACCTGAAGCAACTCAGTGCGTGTGAAGTGGTCCATGATGATGGGGAACACTGTTATGTAATCGACTTGTTCACAGCACTAAGGAGTGGCTTTCGGAGTTTCAAAGTATTTAATTTGAAATCACGAGGCTCTCGAGGGCGCCAGCTCAGGCGCCGAGTCTGGGCCCTCCCCTCCTGTCCTCCACTTTGGCGGCCCGCGCAGTTGGGTATCTCCCTCGAACCTCGAACTTCCTTGCAACATCACAACCCGACCAAACCACTAGTCAACGGCTTGTGACTACCCACGCAGCATCGTGGCCTCTGGGCGATGTGCTTCCCGCGTGATGTCATGATGAGCATTTGCACGGTACGACTCCGTCATCCCTCTCCACCCACGAAGATGCGGAGAGCCACGCACCATGAACTTCATATATGCGCGGACTGCGGTTGATGCGACAGTCTGTTCCTCCCTCTACCTCGCCCAGCTTCTCCCTTTTACCATCATACTCTTCCTCGGTTTCACGCTGCAATGCAAACTGCCGCAAATTTGATACAGAACGTGCGTAGACGATGATTTGTACTCCACGCTTGCTCTCATACCCTTGCGTCTCGCAGAAGATGGGATCGTTCCCCACTATCGTACATCCCGAGTCCAAGGCTATATCTGATGGCGCGACTATGAAAGCCTTGGCCTGGTTCGGGGCGTGCGATGTACGACTCATCAACACTCCTATCCCCGACATTACCGAGCCCGACGACGTAATCCTCAAAGTGACCGGTACGACTATATGCGGCTCCGACCTCCATCTGTACCACGGCGAAATTGTCACTCTACAGAAAGGCGACATCTTGGGTCATGAGGTACGCTCGCGTTTATATGTGCCCGGTCTGCTGTTCATCACTGTGTACCCTGTCAAGTTCATGGGCATCGTGGACAAGATCGGACCCAACGTTAAGAACCTCACCATTGGCCAACGTGTTGTCGCGTCCTTCCAGATCGCGTGTGGAGAGTGCGAGTACTGCAAACAGAAGCTCTCATCCTTCTGCGACAAGACCAATCCGTCTACGTGCGTCACCGGCTTCATCTATGTGATTCCTTTTACTCAAAGGCAGCGCAGCCTCATGAACGCTATGTACGGTCATCGCGACGCTGGCTTCTTCGGGTACTCTCACTTCACTGGCGGCTTTGCCGGTGGTCAAGCAGAGTACGTCCGTGTACCCAAGGGCAACGTCAACCTACTCCCTATCCCGAACGAAGTGCCCGATGAGAAGGCGCTCTATCTTTCGGATGTTCTCTGTACTGCGTATCACTGTGTCATGGACACTGGGGTGAACCCCCACGATACAGTTGGCATCTGGGTACGCATCAATGATGTCATAGATTCGAACTCAAAGTTCATCAAATCCTTCAGGGTCTTGGTCCCATTGGTCTTTGCGTCGCCAAGTTCGCGAAGCTCAAAGGCGTGAAACGCATCATTGCTATCGACAAGGTTCCAGAGCGCCTCAGGAGGGGAGAAGACATCGGAGTTGAGACAATCGACTTCACGAAACATACCGATGTCGTCAGTCGTCTGCAGGAGCTTGTGCCCGGAGGCCTCGACGTCGCCTTAGATTGCGGTATGATCTCTCTCGTCTGCAGGGTGTGATGCAGCTGCTGAAATCATCAAGCAGGCACATTCCACGAGCCCAAGTCGGTATTACACAAGGTCGAGAAGGCGCTCATGCTCGAGACCGATGTCCCAGAGATTGCCAATGAGATGATTATGTCCGTCAAGAAAGGCGGTCGGTGCGGTCTCATCGGGGCCTACTCTGGTTATACCAACCACTTCAACATCGGTGCACTCATGGAGAAGGGCATTCGCTTCATCGGCAATGGTCAAGCTCCCGTGCACAAGTGGTGGAACGAGATCCTCAACGATTTCATCATCACGGGCAAATTCGATCCTACCTTGTGAGTCGACAATACAGAGTGTGGGATTCGATCTGACATAGTACCGTCTCACAGCATGGTATCGCACCGCGTCGACCTTGATGACTTCCCTCAGCTATATGCTGCGTTTGACAAGCGAATCGCTGGCGTCGAGAAGGTCTTCGTGCAGACGCAGTTCTCCAGCCCACCAGCGGTCGGTTGTCCGACGCTCACCAGAGTCGACCACTGGGCGGTGTAGCCGCAGCCGATGATGAACAGTCCCCTGTGACATGTTTTATTGTACATTGTAAGATTTACGCTTGATGTAGTTGTAGTACTAGCACTTGAGCCGTTCTTGTCCAATAGTAACGCCAATGTGTGATAAGGATTGTGACGTCTTTCGTGACAATCACGACAACACTCGCGTGATCGATTGCGTCGAGTGCACCGGTACCACCGTCCACGTGTGCGCGCGCGTGCGTCACCCGTGTCCTCCTGCGTCCTGCGTCGATATCCTTCGGCGGCCACTAGCCTCTTTTCTTCTGAATCCCCAACGATCGGGAAGCGAAACACAGGCCGTCGTAGCAGAGCGTCGTGCCGATCGATCTGCCAAGAAGGTCTCAAGCCCAAAGCACGCATGTGAACAAAACCGGGACTGTCTTGGACGGTCTAGACTCTAGAGATCTAACTCATGACTTGTTTCTACATGCTAGTACTTGCTACCACCTATGCCGTTTTAACTCTGTTTCTTGGGCATGGTGGTCGACGGCCTTTGTCGACGAAGCCGAGTCCCATCTTTCCGGATCTCTATGAAGCGTCTATCGTGGAGCTCCAACATGGATTGGAAGACGGTCTCTTTACGAGCGTTGATTTAGTTATGGTACGTGTCGTTTCAGTATCTAGACGTCGAGCAGATGGTCATTGTGCTGGGTTGTCTCTCACAATAGGCATATCTCGCACGTATCGAAGAAGTCAACTATCAAGGCCCAAGCATACGTGCAGTCCTGGAAACGAACCCCTCTGCCATCCAGAATGCCCAGATTCTCGATTTCGAGCGACTGTTGTATGGAGCGCGGGGTCCATTGCACGGCATCCCCATTCTCCTCAAAGACAACATCGCTACCGTCGCGGAAGAAGGTTCACATCAGTCCCGACGGCCTTGATCTACAGAACGCTCACCAACTTTGTCTCACAGGCATGAACACTACCGCAGGCTCCTTCGCCCTGCTGGGTTCCGTGGTCCATGACGACGCCCACGTAACGAGGCGGTTGCGCCAGGCGGGCGCTATCGTCCTCGGGAAGACGTCCATGTCAGAGTGGGCCCACTTCCGCGGAGACCTTCCTCCGGGATGGTGTGCGCGCGGTGGGCAGGGAACGAGCCCATACGTGCCGCTCGGGGACCCCTCTGGTTCGAGCTCAGGAAGCGCTGTTGCAAGTGCCATCGGGCTTTCGGCGGCGGCACTCGGGACGGAGACGACGGGGTCAATCACCCTTCCCTGCAACAATCAGAACCTCGTCGGTATGAAGCCGACCGTCGGCTTCACATCCAGGACGGGAGGTATGTCCCATGTGTCTCCTTTCGTCGGTTGGCGTGCATATAACCATGTTAAACTCCTAGTCATACCGATCTCGTCGCACCAGGACTCGGTTGGTCCTATGACACGCACGGTGACGGACGCTGCAATAATCCTGAATGCGATCGTGGGCCGCGACCCCCTTGACAATTACACCCTCGCTCAGCCACCCACCGTACCCGACTTCACCGCCGCCCTTGATCGCGATGGACTCAAGGGCGTGCGACTGGGGGTGCCGCGGAACCTCGTGGAACGCGCCGACCCGTTCATCGTTGCGACATTCAACGCCTCGCTCGACATCTTCAGAGCCCTTGGCGCCATTATCATGGACCCCGCCGATATCCCCAGCCTGTCGGAAATGGATGTGTCCAAGAACGAGTCGATTGTACTACAGACCGACTTCAAAGTGAGCTTCGCGTTGATCCGCATACGCCTTGCTTACTATCCTTTTAGATTGAAGTCGGTCGCTACCTGGATGGTTTACTTCACATCCCGACGAAAGTACGAACCCTCGCGGGCATCATCGCTTTCAACCAGGAGCACGCCGATGAGGAGTTAGTGCCTCCATACTGGACTGACCAGTCCGAGTACGTATGTGCACACTTCGTCGCCTTCTCCATTTACTTACACTGAAATAGATTGGTTGCATCGGAGCGCTCGGCCATCAACCAAACCTACTTCGATGCTATCGCATATGACAGAGACCTCGGCGCCACACGCGGCATCGACGGCGCGCTGAAAGCTCACAACATCAGCGCGCTCATTGCTCCTAGCATTGTCGCTACGGACCATACGGGGATTTCAGGATACCCAATAATCACAGGTATGGCATTCGTGTGTTGAGCGCATGGTCACGAAGGCTCATCTGGCTCACACTATAGTACCTCTTGGATTCCTGCCGCCCAGCACGCCCTTAGATCCCGCCGAGCCGACACGCGCAAAAGGCCCCAATATGCCCTTCGGGCTTGCGTTCGTGGGGACCGCGTGGAGCGACTGCGATCTCATCAAGTACGCGTACGCATACGAACAGGCTACACGCGTGCGGCTGAGGCAGCGCGCGATGCCCGAGGCTATCCCAAAGACGCAGCTTCCGGACGTCGTCAGCATACCCCTATAGTCCTCAATCATGCAGTGACCGGCTGTACGCATGCTTTCCGCTTCGGAGTGGTCTTGGTCTTGGCTGAGACCGACTTTTGGCACGGGATCATGCATAGCGTCACTGCGGGTCTCGTGCTTCACTTTTCTTACCCTGTGTCTTACTCGCCTTCTTTACCCACCATATCCTTCTAGTAACAGTGATACGTCTAACCTTGTCCATCCATATCAGATTCGCTCCTTCCGGAAGCCAGATGTGAAATGGTCGTGGTCCCATGACATCACCCAGTTACGCAGCACTTGGGACCAACGGCGATATAAACCCGCCCGCCCCGAACGACCACCGCGTTATCACCCACGACGATGACGATGAGGGCAATCCGCTTGCACGACATCGGCGACGTTCGCCTCGACAACATACCGGAGCCACAGGTTGGCGACAATCAAATCAAGATCAAGGTGCGTCCGTACTCGAGGATTGCGATACGTGATCTCTGAACTCTGCCGCCCTACTAGGTTGCATGGTAAGCACGAGCGTTCTCCTGTGCGCTCGAAGAGATGACTAAGTCCACGCCACCGCACACACATCAGGAACGGCAGTGAGTACGCTCGTGACGTTGCGATCTCTTAAGCTGCTGAGCTTTGGCATTTATTGTGCAGTATGCGGATCTGACCTGCACTGCTATCGCCATCCTCTGCCCGGAACCGTACCCACGAAGACGGTCGCTCAAACTCTTACAAATGAGACATTGCCAATTGTCTTGGGACACGAGTACGCAAGCTCTCGTATGCGACCGTTCGGTATCTGATGCCACGGTGTCCGGTCACAGATTCTCTGGAACAATCGTGGAGGTCGGCACAGGAGTCGACAGTTCTCGCTTCGCAAAGGGTCAGAATGTGGTTGTGTGCGGTGGTTTCTGGATGTCTCTCCTCATATTCTGTATACTCATGTCAACCCTCCACAGAGAGCCCATGATCGCCTGCGAGAAGTCTACTTGCGCAAAATGCTCCAACAAGTCGCGTAACTTTTGTCCTCACATGACATTCATCGTACGTTTATTTCGCAACATGAGCATGCCATTAAAACCAAGCCATCGCACAGGGACTTGGCGGTGGTGGAGGCGGCCTTTCAGAATATGTGTGCGTTGACCCGAGTTTGGTATACGCGCTTCCAGACGGAATGTCCTGTGAGTATCTCTTTGGCTTCTCAACGTCAAGTCATGACTATTGGTCCCAGTGGAAGCTGGTGCGTTGGTGGAGCCGTTGACTGTCGCTTGGCACGCCGTCAAGGGGTCGAAGATGCAACCGGGTGCTTCCGTTCTCGTTTGTGGAGCGGGCCCTGTAAGTTCAGTCCACGTACAATCGCAACCATGAGCTCATTATGCGGACAGGTCGGCTTGCTTGTCCTGAAAGTAGCGAAGTGTGTCCTCGTTCGTCCTTTCTACTTCTTTATCTTCTCACTCGTTATAACAGGGCACTCGGGGCGTCGTGGGTTGCAGTCTCGGAACCTGCGGTGAAGAGACGCCAGCTGGCCAAGGAGCACGGCGCAGATGCCGTCTTCGACCCCACCGCCCCTGGCGCCAATGTTCCCGCTGCGGTCTTCGAGGCGACCGGGGGACGTGGTGCAGACGTCGTCTTCGACTGCGCTGGAGTTCAGCCCGCGATCGACGTCGCGTGCCAGGCCGTGCGCGTGAAGGGGACGGTCATGGTCGTCGCTCTCTGGGCAGTCGCGCAAGTACATCTCGGTATCGTTCTGATGAAAGAGGCCATCATCACTGGTACGTCGGTGGTCCCTCGGTGGCGTTATTGCTAGCAGCTTACAAAGTCCCATCATAGGATCTTGCGCCTACAACCGCGACCACGCCGAAGTACTCCAAGCCCTCGCTGAGGGGAAGTTCCCCGGGCTGGAGTCTTTGATCACTCGTCGCATAGGCCTGGAAGACTGCTTGGAGAAGGGCATTCTGGCTCTGATTAACGAGAAGGACGAGCACGGCAAGTCGCGTTCACGGCCTTTACTAGCCTTATGATGGCACTGACTTGAATGAACGACTACCAGTGAAGATCTTGGTACACCCGAACGCCTGAGGGCGGGTAGCATTTTCGGCCATTTGTATTTGTACGCGTCTAGGACATGCGCCTTTAGTCGGTTTGTACGGCGAGAAATGAAGTGTAGTATACTCGCGCGTTGAGCTTTCGCGAGCTGGCGTTGACTGTTTGCACCACACATACTTGGAAAGTTTGTGCCATCCAAAGCTCTGATGTGCGCAGTTATCTTATCTCTCGGTACCGATGACGTGACCGCGCACTGGGATCAGAGTCCTGGGCGAGTCGCTCGGCAGCCAAATATCCTTTCTCCCTCACCACCACCACCCTCCTCCTCCTTGCACCCATCGAATCCATCTATCGGGGTGAGGCACCCCATCTGAGCACCCTCTCAGGCTGTTCGCCAAGACGTGCTCCCACACCCCTCGGCAGCGCGCCCGAATTATCACTTAATACTCTCAGCCCCCTCTTACGACCCAACGCCCCGCCAACGTCGCGACCACCATGTCGCTCATCTCGGCGCACAACTCTCCCATGATCTCCATACCGAAGAAGACGACGGAGGAGGTCGACTGGACGGGCCCCATCCGCAACGCGATCGCCCATTCGTATGGCGAGGACCCGGATAACTACGCAACCGAGTGCTCGAACCTCCAGCGATGCAGGCAGGATGCGGTCAAGGGTGCAGGGAGCGACGTGACAGGTGCGTGACTCGCCTTTCCGAGCCCAGGCAGGGGTTGACCGGGGCCGCAGCTAAGGACCTACTGCACAAGTACTTCGGCCAGCTCGAACTCCTCGAGCTCCGCTTCTCAGAAATCCGCGTCAACTTCCCGTGGCGAGACGCGTTCACGAACAAGCTCACGACCCAGACGTCGATCGCGTTCGAGAAGGCGTCCATCATCTTCCAGATCGCGGCGACGCACTCCGCCATCGCGGCCTCGCAGAACAGGTCCGACCCCGAGGGCCTCAAACGCGCGTTCTACTACTTCCGCACCACCGCCGGCATGCTCACGTACATCAACGACAACTTTCTCCACGCACCGTCGACGGACCTCAGCCGGGAGGTGATCAAGTTCCTCGTTGGCATCATCCTTGCGCAAGCGACGGAGGTCTTCTTTGAGAAGTGCACGGACGAGAAGAAGGGGAACGCGTTGGTCGCCAAGATCGCGGCCCAAGCCGGATTCATGTACACGGCGCTGGGCGAGGAAGTGAAGGAGTTCATGGGAAAGGGGATTTTCGACCGGAACTGGGTGACGGTCATTCAGGTGCGTCGCCTTCATGTCCTCCGCGACGCGGCTGGCCGACGACGACTCTGCAGACGAAAGCCAAGTACTTCACATCCGTCTCACAATACTACCGCGGTCTAGCGGACAGCGCTGCGGGCAAGCACGGCGACGCCCTCGTCCGCTTCACCGCCGCCGAGACCGCGGCGAAGGAGGCGAACCGCACCGCATCCTCGTTCGCGTCCCTCTTCGTCACCCAGATGTCCCCCAACCTCCCGCCCGACGCCGGCCCAGCGCTGCAGGACCTCACGAAAGCGCACCTCGCGATGGTGTCAGACAAGAAGAACGAGGCGCAGAGGGAGAACGACCTGATCTACAACGCCGTGCTCCCCACCGCCGAGACGCTCCCGCAGATCGACAAGGCCACGGTCGCGACGCCGATCACAATCCAGGAGGTGTACGCATCGCCTGACGTGCAGAAGGTGATCGGCGTGGACATGTTCATCCGCCTGATCCCGCTGAGCGTCCACGAGAGCGCGAGCGTGTACTCGGAGGAGAAGGCGAAGCTCGTGCGCGGCGAGGTCGAGAAGGCGGATAACGCGGAGGTGGAGGTCAAGAGCGCGCTCGACGCGATGGGCATCAAGGACGGACTCGTGCGCTACAAGGCGATCGCGGACGGCGGGGTCGGGGGCGAGGCGGAGCTGCCGATGGAGGTCCGGCGATGGAAGGAGGATATCGCGCTCATGGAGGGCCGCGAGGGTGTCGACAGCATCATGGTCGAGCTCACCCGCCTTAAGGACAGCGTCAAGCGCGAACTCGAGGGCATCAGCCGCGACCTCGACGCGGAGAGCCGGGAGTGCGAGGCGATGCGCGTCAAGTACGACCATCTGTGGATGCAAGCCCCATCGGCATCGCTCACCAAGTCCATCCGGCAAGACCTGAAGGCCCACCTTACGGCCCTCGACGCAGCGGCTCAGTCGGACCAGCAGGTCGTCACCATGTGGGAGTCTATCAGGGGCGAGATCAACTTGCTCCTCTCTCCGGAGGTCGAGGACGTCTTCAGGGCAAGTACGGAGAAGGGCGGCACGGAGAGCCTACTGGACCTAGACATCGGGAGCGAGGCCAAGGATGACGAGGAGCGGGTCAAGATCGGTCGTTTCGTGGATGAGATTGAGGAGAGGCTGGGGCGGCTGAACAAGATCTCTCATGAACGCGGGCAGGTCTTGAAGGATCTCAAGGATAAGGTGAGTTTGGGCAGATTCGACCATATTGTGCGCATATACCCATTCGTTCCCTCCCCAGGTGCAACAAGACGACGTCTCCCATCTGCTCCTTCTAAATCGCCGGAACACTGGCGTCGAGAGCACCCTCTTCGCGGGCGAACTCGAGAAGTTCCGCGCGTATCAGCAACGGCTGGCGGCCACTGTCCGTCACGAGCAAATCGCCATCCAGGAGCTGAACACGCTTTGGCGTGGCCTGCGGGACCTTGCTGGCAGGGGCAGCGGGGCGAAGAAATGGGAGGAACGCGAGAAGCGGAAGAAAGATACCGTGCGTCGATTCTCGCGTGCGCGCGACGTGTATATGGAAGTCCGCGACGGCCTCGCGTACGTCCAAGTGGGTTATCTTCATCAGATATTGCGCTGACGAAACTCCGGTACAGGAAAGGACTTCAGTTCTACTCGGAGCTTATCGAGATGTCAACCAGTCTAAGACGCTCCACCGGATCGTTCATCTCAGAGCGTAACGTCGAGCGCGAAACCTTGGCTTCTCAAGCAGAGACCGAACGGAGATTCGCGATCCCCAAGAACGCCTCAACACCCATGTATGGCGACAAGCCGCCAGTCCCTCCGCCTCCACCGAAACCCTCCACCGGCCTCGAGTCTGCCTTCTCTTCGATGAATATGCACGGTGCGAACGGCTCAATATCGCCCCCTCCTGCACCACAGCGCCAGTGGACGTCGCCTCCACCCCAGCAATACCAACCATCACCATCTGCGCCTCCAGGTGCTCCTCCCTCGCAAGGTTTCCCGCCTCCACCCGCCCCATACACGCCCTCCCATCCACCCTCTCAGCCCTCTTATCAACCCTCTGCGCCGCCATCAGATCCCTACGCCTCGCTTGGTTTGTTCACAAGCCCTAACACTCCACCGCCTCCACCTGCGCAGCACCAGCAGCACCCCTCGTATCCCTCGCGACCTCCACCACCGCCGAGCCAGTTGTCTTCCCAATACGGACAGCCGCCGCAGAGACAAGGATCGTACCCACCCCCGCCCCCCTCATCTCAGCCTCAGTACGGTAGCTACCAGAGCACGCCCCCACCACCGCCTAGCAGCGCGTCATCGATGCTCCCGCCCCCTCCTCCCCCAATCAACTACCAAACGCAGTACGGGTCGACGCCCGTCCCTCCCCCTCCCCCACCCCAACAGCCGCAGCAACAGCAGCAGCAGTGGCAGTACCAGAACTACGCGCAGCCGGGCGCGCCGCAGTATCAGTACGGACAGGGACAAGGTTACGGGCGTTGATGGGCTTTACGCTTCGACGCAGTCTGGCGCTGGACTATGGGTATGGAGGGAGAATGGGTGTTGTACGTTTGATCCTTGTAACTGTCTCTTTTCAATGTACGATTGGACATGAGTCACCTGTACTGTCGTAACGCTGTGCGGCGGCGCGCCTCCTCGTCTCTCTCCTCAAGTTGCGGATCGCAAGCCGAAGGAGAACCGCTCGGAGGTCCAGTCGTCTTCGCACGTGCTGGGGCCCCATTGGAGCTGCCCTTGACGCGGCGAATGGCGAACTCGTTTACGATGTATGGCGTTATACTGCGCGCCGTCGCGAGACGGCACAAAGTTTCGAAGCGGATGATCTGAATGCTTGTTTTTCGATGGCCACCGGGTACGTATAAATACGGAAATCTACGGCGTGCCCACGCATGGTGTCCAACCCCACAGCGTCCAACCCACAGAGTCATAGAAGCTTTTCAGGACCTATAGTCTATGGACACTCAACTTCATCATCGCATCGCCGAGTTCCGACGTCTTTGGACTCATCCGATGGACGGGCCCCATTCAGCGCATCGGAGTCAACCACCGACGCCTCATCGTGAACGTCCTCGCCTCCGCGCTCGTCAGCTGCCAGGTCCACGGACGCGGCGAGAGAGCCGAAGACGCGCTCGAAGACGACGGACGAAGTCGTGCCGTCGAGCTCGATCGTGGAGACGTCTCCGGCGGTGCGGTTCTTCACCGCTTGCAGGTTCAGAAGGAACCGGGAGACGAGGATGGATGTCAACCTAGATCGCCGTCAAGTTAGACGGTGGAGCCCCAGCGCGAAGAGATCAGAGGCGACAACGCACGGTTCCGTGAAGGTCGTGACCTCGCTGTTCGTCTGTACCGGCGAGAGTATCTGCAGGCGTGGAAATACGTTTAGCACAGAGATTATGGCTTTAGGGCACGTAATAAGACGGACCGACGCAAGTGTCAGTGACATATGTATGGCGTTTAGCGAGAAGATAGTGCTGTGAGGGGGTCGAAGAAATCAGCGCATATTGACTCTGAGTCACAGGACGCATAGCGCGTACAGGAAATATATTGCTCCTGAAAGGCACACTCAGAACGACTGAAACGCGAAAAGAAGCCGAGACGCACCATCGCGTATGAGGACATTTGCCAATGATGATTTAGACTTCTCGTCGCGTCGAAGATTGTACCAGGTGACGGAGATAGCCAGTATATCTGCAAGCATTAGAGAAGTCCTGGAAGCAACGGTGTCTGGACGAAAAAAGCAGGTATTCAGTGGAGCTGCGAATCAGGAAAGCAGTAGGACGCGGCTAACATCTGAAACGACAAAGTCAGCTACTCTCAACATATTAAGACTGAAGCCTGAAGCGCACCTGGCATTGAGAAAGGCGGGAGAGGCGTTCACATTGATGACTCCCATGACAGGATCGTCCACTATCTCAACATACTTGTATAAGGTCTACGGGGACTTCAATATAGGCCGTGAAAGAACGTTGGCTGAGATACGCACGAGATTGAGAGCTAGAGGTACAAGAGACAGGGCGAAGACGAGGGCCGCAAGCAGGCGTTGACGACACAACGCGTACGTACGAAGTCCGGTGAACGCTGCCATATATCAGTGTCCTGTCCAGTATGCTTTCTTCGACAGACATACCTGCCCATGACACATACTGCATGAGGTCGAGCAAGAACTGAGCACGCGCCTCAGCCAAGTAACTGACGAAAGTCGTCAGATGGCCGTTTTGTCAGGGAAGATAGAAAATATCACACTTCTGCGCCATTTGTCAGCCCAAATGGTAACAGAATGCGAGTCCGGGACTCACCGTAGGACTTGCACGCCACATAAAAATCATCTCGTAGATAGTATAGCCAAGCGTAATGTACCTGTTCAAGAAGAAGAGAACCATTGCGCCTGTTGATCCACCACTACTGATCCAGAACGCTGAAACCTCCGTTGTGAACGTAACCAGATATTCGTAGAAAATAAGCACTTTCGTATGGATAAGAAAACCGCACGTTCATGATCAGATGGAAGATAACTGACCGTTGGCGGAGAATTGAACGAAGTTATACGCCTTGCTAATTCGCGATTTCAGCTTCGAGAGCTCGATCGAGGGGAACATGCGACATACAAGCTAGATATCTCGTCGACTATCGCCGCAATATCAGCATCTGTGAAATTTGACATTGAGAAGGGTCGACGGAACGACTGGGAAGTTGTCAGCGCTGGGCGAACACGATGAGACAATGTGTAACGCACGAGTGGGAGGACTTTTGCGTACAACGTAAGAGGCCTGAAGGATCAATAGGTCTGAACGCTTTTATGGCGAGACATGGACTCTTTCGACCTGAAGTCTAACTTTGCTACCGTCCCGATGAGCAGTGGGCATCGGTTCCCCGCGACATTGATCGGTCAGTGCACGGCATCACGGGCCAATGTGTCTAATAAGCTCCTGGGCCGCCTTCCTGCCCACCAACGACAGTCCCTTACGAGCAGGCTGTGTTCTGGGCCGCTGATCGTCACAAGAGCATCACTTGGCGCCCGCGAAGGACTGCATAGCTGTGTCTGAGCCCTTCTAAAGCCCGCAAAAGACCGGCTCACCGGCCATCCGGAGCGCTCTTCTTGTTGCTTCCGTGAGCTGTAATATGCCGATTCGTCAATGGACTGCACGTGCATCACAACGAGGCCATGAATAAATACGCGCATAGCCACAAAATTGCCGTGAGCGGAGTCGTGCATTCTCTGCGTCCACGAATCTAGCGGCAATACAGACGTTGACGATCTACCATTATGAGAGCGCCACCAAAGTTCAGATTTCCGTGACCCAATGTCGCATTGGAAGTGATGTCCACCGCGTTGCCACCGCGTCAGATGATCAACCTGACACACCCGATGCCGCCGACATCATCAAGCTGTGGAAGGGGCCAATATTCGCGGGCTTCTTGATCTCGCCCATCCACCAGCCGCGCGAATAGCCCGGCGTTATCGTCGCCAGGCACGTTGAACGACTGCTTCCTGTCGCACATCATCATCTCCATCGGCTGAGGGTGGAGAGGGACCTGCAGCTTCGCCACGAACCTGGTCTCGCCTGGGGGCATGTCCTTGGTCTTCAGTGGTGGGATGCTGGCCTTGCCCGTGCGAGTGGATGTCGATTCGAGCCGGTCCTGCTTGTTGAGGACGGTCACGTACGACGCTTTCTTTCCGGGCGGGCAGAGCCGCGCCGTAGTCTGTAGCCTGCGACCGGTTTCCATCTTTGAGAGATTGGCAGAGCTTCTTAGGGGTGGGGTGGGGTGGGGCACACCTAGCGACGGCGAAGCTTCGACGGGTGAGAGCAGTAGATGCCGAGGCGGCTGTTGAGCCTCGCGACGGCGGCGAAGTCGAGGGGTTAGATAGGGAAGATGACGGAGAGACGATACTTCTCCTGCAGCTCCCGGAGCTTCTCGACCGTATGGTACCCATCCAGAGACTAAAAAAGGACGTGTTTGATCTTGGCCAGCTTCCAGCTTGAGAGAGTGCCTGATCTCGATAGGCGTCGCGTGCATTTGCGACGGAGACGGCGTCCGGCGGAAGTGCTCTTGTATCCAGGGCAAGCCTTTAGCGGTGGGCTCGCGCGTGAAGACGCGGTAGAAGACGCTGGCGTCGACTCGTTGACGTGCACGACGGAGACAATCTGGTAGGGACGCAGGTCATGGGCACGGAAATACAGCAAAAGGAAATAAAAGACATACGCGAACGTTGTATCTCACATGCCTCCTCCTTGTTCTCTACGTAAGCGGTCGACCCTCCGTGGTCGAAGGTTTCCGCAAGGCTCGTAAAGATATCTGTGAATAAATCGGGGACCGTTGTTCCCAGTGACCATTTTTGAAAGGCCTTTCCGACGTTGCCCCTGGTTGACGCGTTGAGAAGCGAGTTCTCGGTCGGCTCTGTTGGTGTTTGGGGACAATTCTACGATGTGCAACGCTTGAGACATCCCACTGGGACGAGTGAGCACTGAGGGCTCCGTTGGATGGCAGATGTAGAGGAGGAGAACAAGGAGAGTGCATGACGGCAATCCCTGGAGAGTGGCGTCAGGCGAAGTGCCACTAACAACAAGCCATGAGAGAGATGTATAAGAGAGAGATGTATAAGAGAGAGATGTATAAGAGAGAGAGAGCTCTGGCAGAGACTCAGAGAGCTGGAAAGAATGCGCGGCCCAACTCCGGCCCGGATACTGCGCCAGGCCGCCTGTAGGTTCAGAGCAAGCGGCGCTTGCTTCGCAGCACACCTTCGCAGCGCGGAGCGCCAAAACTTCGTTCGCCGACGGGACTTGATCTGAACCTAGGCCGCCTGCCTCCTTGCTTGAAGTCCTCGTCAATTTGCTCTGCAATCGTACCTTGAAGAAAGCTTCACGCATCGCGACTAAAGACACTGGCCCCGCGGTGTGAGTGCCGAGACGATGGTTGCGGCCGCACTACAATCCGACTTTAGCTTACCTTCATACTAAGTATAGGGACCGGGGTGTTTCCTGGTGCTTCTGAACTATGTATCTTTCGAAAGCCGGTTCGTGTAGCCGGATGTCTACAATTTTCCCGTTCAATGCTCGCACATGGCGAAATGCATCTCGAAAGTCTGCTCGTTGTGATACTCGACAAACGCGCTCCGTTCCTCCATCAGCTTCTCTCTGTGCTCCTCCGCCTGCTTCCGCGACATCAGCGCGGGCTCTGTGAACCCAAATATCATGTCTAATAGCTCCTGTGGAAGCTTCCGCACGCCTCCAAGCGCCTCCGCCTCCGCAACCGCAACCGCCCACTCCTGTTGTTGAGGCGGGACGTCCGTCGTCGACAAGATCCGCACGTTCGGGTCCACGAGGAACAGCGCGAGGATCTTGCGGTGCCCGGGACGCGTCTCATCCTCGAGCTTGAATGCCTCTACGAAGTGCTGGTACACGTTCGGGAACGCTACGCACTTGTATTCCTCTGCGACCAGGTGCCCGAGCGCCTGGCTGAGCGCGTCGTCGTTCCTCAGCCCGTACACGACCGTCGGTCCCTTGTAGTCCCCGTTCTCGTACGGGAGTTTTGTGCCGAAATCCCCGTCCCCGACGCGCTGCCGGAACGCGAGCCGGCTCTCCGCGACGTTCTCCATCGCGTAGTAGTACAGGCCCGTCGCGACGACCCGCTCGTTCGCCATGCCCTCGACGTGCCACGACCCGCCCGGGTAGACCGGCTTCTCGGGCGTGAGGTGGATGCTCGCGAGCTTGACGATCACCTGCAGCGTGCGTCCGCGGAGCGGGAACTCGACGCGGCCCGCGGTCGGGGGCGGCGCGAAGGGGGCCGGCTCGGGGATCGTGGGCCATCGGGTCGTTCTGTCCCACTCGACCCAGTGTTTGTCATTTGTCTCGTCGTCGTCGTCCGAGTTCGGCCCGTCCCAGTCTTTGGCGGGACCCTCGTACCATTCCGCATTGATGTCGATCGCTTGAGGCGGAGCGGGCGAGAGGACGTCGGAGAGGACGCGCTCCCAAAGGGGCACGAAGCGCGCGACGATAGAGCTGACGGCGGGGTAGAGTGCGCGGTGACGGGACGGGTGGACGTTGTTGATGTAGCCGAGCGGAGAAACTTGGCCATCGGATGAGACGGCAAAGTCGGTAGGGAGCCACTGGTATACGTCGGATATGGCGCAATCGTTGAATTTGAGGAGGTTCAGGTCTGGTCTGAGCAAGCGGTACGCGTCTTTGTCTAGCGTCGTGAGCACGTACTCCTTAGTTTTGGCGTCGAGCTGGCGGACCAAGGTGCAGCCGATGCGAATGTGGTACAGAGATGGATGGACTAGGTCGAGCACCTGGTTGTCGGTATAGGGGTGCCAGTCCTTATCCTCGTCGGGAACATTCTCGAAGATCGAGGACGCGCGCACGAGTTGGGCTTTCAAATCAGAGTTGATGAGCGAGCGAGATTCGTAAACCCCTCGGATGCTAGTAGCCTACAAAGAGAGACGATCAGTTCAGGATGTTTGAATGAGACGAGGAGAACTTACGAATGACCCGGTGGTTGGGTCTAGCTGCGAGGCCTCGTACTCGAGCTCCTCAAAGATATACTTCAACTGAGCGTCGGTCAGGGGATCGCGCGGCCACATCTTCACCATTCCTCGAGGGTCCGCGTCTTCTTGTGGCTCCGCGTTCTCATCACCATCACCACCGCTCTCTCCGTCTTGGCTTCCCGGCGGGGACTCCTTGTAGTAGAGCTCGAAACGGCGTTCGCCTCCCCACAGAGCCTCGACAGTCTCGCGGTCGTGCTCAACCATCTCCTCCCGCCACTTCGCAACGATGTCGTGGTTATGGATCTTCTCCCACCACGATGGCTTTGAGCGGACCGTCTGCGAGAAGAAGGACATGCGTAACTGGACCAAGGTGATCGGCAGGGTCAGGGTGGGAGGATCGAATGGAGTGGGGAAAGGTTTCGAGAGCTGAGCGGCCATGGTGGAACCGGGGGAGATCTGCGAGTAAACACGTTGGCTGGTAGTTGATGGGCAGTCAGCTATATAGCAATTGGCGTGCATTTGTCCGGAGGCCAATCTACTCGCAATGACTCGCGGTGTGAATACGGCACGATCCGCAGGGGAAGACTGTCCAGCTCACGCCTCAGTTGATCCTACATCGCCATACCATTCGACCGCCTTGCTACTTTCCCGGAGCCAAGCTTCAGCCTGTGCTTCCACTGCATCATTGCGAGATTCGGAGACGGAGCTGGCGCTGAAGTGCTGAAGGTGAAGTCACCGTTCCGCCCAGAGCTCTGTGGGTAGGCGAGATCGTCCAGCCGATCGCTTCCGACACGCCTTCGGTGCCGACCGGCGTGCCTCTGGAGTTGCTGGAGCTCCCCTGTGCAGCGCACGTCCTTCCAGTCTGCTCTCTCCAGTGTGTGACTCGTTGGAACTAGTTGTAATTGTACATACTGAACGAGCTGTGAGAAAATTGCGAGTGCGGGTCCACATAGCCGTTCTCGCCATAAAAGCCGGGTGCCTGGGCGCTGCTGAAAGGGGTGGACGAGAGAACCATAACTGTTGTAGATGGGTATGCAGGGACGTTCCTGCAACGATACGGTGTGTGTGGGGGGTGTTGCAGCATACTTCGAGCGGGTGTTCCGGAGGTAGTGGGCGGAAGATGGGAGCGCAATGCGGCTCTCGCGTGAAGTCAAAAAGACGCCGAAGTCCGTGTCCGCGAGGCTTCTGCTCGACCCGCGCGTTCTGCGGACGACCGCTCTCCTCCTCCACGATGGTCCGCATGATCACACACAACCTGCTTGCCTGTCACGCCAAAGGCTGCACCTCCAACAATTTCCCGCTGCGCTTCAAGGACGTCGCCGTCGAGCTCCGCGACGCCGACTTCAACGCCGACTTCCTCCGCGGCTTCCTCCCCCGCCTCGAGTGGCCCGCGCTCGTCGACGCCGCACGCGAGGTCCGTTGTGTCTGCTGTGGACTGCGAAGACGCGCTAGCTGACTGGCTTTACGCTCTCTGCATGCAGCTCGGGGATACATCCCTTCCCGCGGAGCAGCCGGAGATGGTGGACGACGACTTCCTGAAGAAGGTGCACCACGTCTTGCTCGAAGTACGCCCCGTCCCTCCCTTCGTCCCCACGCCCGCGCTCACCCCTACGTCCACTGCGCCCTCCAGATCCACGTAGAGGAAGGCGCGATGGTGTGCCCGAACTGCAGCCACGTCTACCCGATCTCGAACGGGATCCCGAACATGGTGCGTGCTCGTCCTCCGGCTCGTCTTGCGCTCTCTTCCCCCACTCGTCGCGCGAACCGCCTTCGTGTTTCCGCGTCCTCCCCATTTCGCCTCGATCCTCCTTTCTCTCTTTCTCTTCTCACGATCGAATGCCTGGCTTTCCCGCCTTCCACTCGCCCTCCATGACCCACATTCCGCATGCGTCCTCCGTTCCGCACCCGTTGCTGACGGTGCCCCCTCCTCGCGCAGCTTCTGGCGGAACACGAGATTGGCTAGCCTGGCTAGCCTGGGCCCTCGCTCGCAAGGGCGAGCGTGTACCCCAAAAGTACTCTACGACACACCACATTTGTAGACCACGATGCGTGCGCGATAGCGCAGCTTCAGGCCCAGGTCCGCCTTCATCATTTTCACGCCCTCCCTCTAGTTCGCAGGGCGCAGCTCCCCGTGCTCGTCGTGGTTCTTGTGCAACCCGAGCTATCCCGGTCGGGCCGGTGGTCGAGCGAGCGTTTGAGCGCTTATCCCCTTGCACCCTTTGGCGCGCGCCGCGAAACCAGACCGATTCCAACTCCTTGTCCTCTACATCCACCTCAGCTGTCTCATGGAGCCACTCACCCGTCCTGAAACGCTTCAAGCGCTGCACTTCATCGGCGTAGAGCTTCCCGCAACGACGAGGATCCCAGATGTCGGCCTCAACAGGCGCCTCCGCGACGCGCTCAACGCTGCCCAAGACAAAGACACACTGCCCGCCACCCTCGACATCAACGCCCTCAAGAAATGGGCTCCTCCCTCTTCCGCACGCCAGTCGGCGCCGTCCACCCCGCGTGCGGCTGCTCGCCGCGGAGAGGGCGAGCCTCCTCAGGGGCCGCTGCTGGACGCTTTCAGCAGAGGCAACGCCGGGGAAGCCTTTCAGAACATGAGTGGGTCCAATGGCCCCGATCTCTACACCGACGTCTTTGCGGACCTGCGCCAGACGACCATGGCTCTCGCGAACATCATCGACGCCGGAAGGTCGACCGCTCACGTCGGGAGCAGCGCGGAGGACTGCGGGGTCAACGTCCGGGTGCGCCCCCTTTGTTCTTTGTTCTTTTCTCCACCTTCATGCGTAAACATTCCCACAGATCGTCTCCGTCGTGGAGGTCAACGAACACACCCCCGCCATCGTCGTGCTCTACCGCGACTTCACGATCGCGACCGCGGCCGAAGGCCTCGCCTGGGTCCAAGAGCACTTCCGCGGCCCGGCGCCGTTGACAAAGGTCCACGCGACGCCGCTCGAGATCAAGCTCTTCCTCAAGCTGCTCGACACCAACGCGGCGCTGCTGCCCGAGGGCCACGACGTCGCGAAGCTCCGCGGGCCCCACGAGGACGCGTACAGGCTCTCCGTCGTCCTCCCCGTCGCGCCCCTCGACTTCACCGCCGTCGCGAAGCTCAACTACAACCCCGGGTGCCACGTCTGCGGCAAGCGCGATTCCAAGTACTGCCCCTGTCGCTGTCTGCGGTACTGCGGCCGAGGTGCGTGCTCGGCTCCGTGTCGCCCTTCCCTCCTCTCACACCGAGCGTGCACCCCCTTTTTTTTTTTTGACAGAGTGCCAGACGGCGGATCGGGCCGCGCACAAGCAGACCTGCAAGTCGCTCGACAAGGGCGTGTGGAAGGCCGTCAAAGTGCGCGCGTGCCCGCCCGGGAACGAGCACATGCGCGCGTTCGCGCTCAACCGGTACGACCGGCTCGACCCCGCCGCCCAGAGGCGCATCCTGGCCGAGGTCGAGAGCGGGCCGAGGGCCGGCGACGCGCCGCCGCCGCCGAGCCTGTACGGCGACGCGGGGTTCATCGCCAAGCTCCAGGTCGCCCTCGGGCCCGCGCCGACGGAGATCATGGTGTACGACAAGAGGCGGTCGATGCAGGTGTACGTCGTCGCGGAGGACGACGCGGAGCTCTTCGGGCTGTTGGTGGACGAGATGAAGAAGCCCGGGAGTGGCTACGGCGGCGTGAAGATGTATCGCTGGGCGCGGCGGACGGGCGACTGGGAGCTCGAGATCTGCATTGATCGACAGCCGATTGGACAAGTCATGTGGTAGGGTGCATGTGAAGAATCGAGCGGTGGACGAAGAGAGCCGTAGAAAGGGCGCCGAATGACGGACGGAGTGTCGGATAGGACGACGATGGTAAATGCGATGATAGAATGGATATCCGAGATCTAGCTAGACAATACTGCGGTATAGTGCTGTAGGGCGGGAACGCTAGAAACCAACAGTGCATTGCTCTCTACTCAATTAATTGTTGCGTGTATCGTCGTTCGGCAGCGGTGCATGCTTCCCTCGTAATGGAATAAAGACTCTGTCCCTCAAACGCGTTCAGGCCTTAAGGACGGTGAGCTTGAGCACCAACCCCGGCTTCGACCTGTCCTCGGCCATCGACGGGAATATGACGCCGCCCATGTTCCACTCGATCGGCCTGCCGGTGGTCTCGAACTTGTAATGCGTGATCAGTATCGAGAGCATGACCTCTGCCGCAGCGGACTCAGCCATCGTGCAGCGAAGCGATCAAGGACGGCAGGACGCACTCATCTCGAGCTGGGAGAACTTGAAGCCGATGCAGGAGTAGGCCCCCGCCGCGAACGTCGTCCTGCGCGCGTCATGGGATGCCGGTCAGCGACGCTCACGCGCGAGCCATCGGGCGGCAACTCACAGGTGTGCGTACACCCCGGGGATGCGCGCGTCCTCGACCGCCTTGGGAAGCCTGTCGAGCCACCGCTCGGGCGTCCACTGGAGCGCGTCCGCGCCCCAGAGCGCCCTGTCGACGTTCGGCCCGGAGTAGTGGGCGGTGACGGTGGTGCCGCGCTCGACGGCGAGCGCGGTGACGCGCCGGCCGTCGCGCAAAGCGATGGGCTCCAGGAACGGGAGCACGGTGTCCTTCGTCGCGCTGTGGGGGGCACGGTAAGCACGTGCTCGTGGCGGGGAGGAGAGGCGCGGGTACTGACGTGCGGCTGGACAGCGGGACGGGAGCGAAGAGCCGCAGCGTTTCCCGACAGACGGCGTCGAGGTAGGGGAGCCGTTCCAGGACATCGTACGGGAGGTCCGCGCGGTCCACGCCTTGCGCTTCGAAGGCCTCGGCGCGGAGCTTGTCTTGGGCTTCCGGATGCTCCGCCAGGAGCTGGAGGACACGCGCGAGCGAGTTCGATGTGGTGTCCATGCCGGCGAGCATGAACGTCCTGGGAGAGAAGGTCAGAGCAGCATTCTAGTGAACGCAGAGCGTCTGGACTGAACGCACGAAATCTGGGCAACCAGTTCCTCTTGGGACATCTTCTCGTCTTCGGCGGCGGCCATGTTGGCTTTCACTGAGCAGTGGTGAGCATACTTTCCGGCGCTGTCGAAAAGGGTTGACGTACGGCAAACACTGATGATGTCCTTGCCTTCGCCCACCTCCTGCTTGAGCGCGTCGTCATCCTTCGTCAACGCTTCCTGGCGTGCGCGGATGATCTCATCCGAGCGGCGCCTGATGGTGTCCGTGATCTTCATGAAGTCGCGGAAACCCTTGTGTGGCAGGCATCGGAACAGCGCGCGGATACTAGCGTGAGAGAGGTACTTCCGCAGTTCATACTGCGCGAAGAAGAGGAGAGGGATCTGCGACGCCGTCGCGCTGATTTCGGACAAAGATTAAGCGGTGAGTTGAGGGACAGTCCCAAGAAAGAGACGTACAAAAGCCGCTTCATGCAGTCCCCGAGCTCGTCGGCAGCCGAGGCAGTGAAGTCGTCGAAGGAGTACCCGAGACCCGCTTGGCCGAGCATCTCTAGCGTGCCACGGCCCATCCATGTAGACACATCCAGCTCGCCACCGCCGCTGGGAAGATGCGCGTCCATTGCACGATCGAGCTGTGCATCGATCCAGATTGTGAGTCAAAACGTGTTGTTGTAGCTTCTTGAAGTGGACATACCTGGTGCGCGACTCTGTAGAAGATGTCCATCATTCCGCGGAGGTGGGCGACGGAGAAGACCGGATTCAACAGCTTTCTTTGCCGCTTGTGCTGCTCGCCGGCCGTAAAGAGCACGCTCGGACCGAGGGCGAAGGTATTATCACTGAGATGATGTCAGGGGAGTACTCGGCGGCGACGAGACGGAAGAATTGCGTACAGCGAAGAATCTATATCTTTTTGCCAGATATCCTGCTCTTTGATCATGACGTAGTGAAGTGCCTTCGGGTCGGAGATCACGGCATGGCGGCGCTGTGTGATGGATGAGCTGGTGCGGGATGCTGAAGTTACGGGGAGTCTCACTCCGAAAAGGTATGGGGCTACGTAAGCCCTCCCGTACGTGTCTGCGTAACTCTGCAAGTCCTGCCATCCTTGGCCGGCGCGCATTCTGAGGACATTCCCTGGAACGACGGTCAGCCTCGCCTCAAACTGTGGCTTCGTAGCTACGAGGGAAATATAACTCTACTGACCAAGTAGCAATGAGTCTGATGGGGGTCCTGGGAGGGCATCGATAGCGAGTTTGAGGAAGTAGTGGCGAATGATACCCCACACGATGTAGAGCACGCAAGAAACTGTAACGGCAACCAGGAGGGAGAGAGCCATGTCAGAATGGAGCGAGAGAAACCGTTGGATGGGACTATCGTACCTCTACGCCAGCTGCGAGTGTTCTTATGCTCGAGGTGTCCGACGGCATCGAACGGACATCGCCTCTCAGTGCTATGTAATCGTCTGACTCTGCGCACGACGACTACCTCGAAGGTGTGGGAGGCGCTTTCGGGAGAAAGAGGGTTCTCGGGCCAATGAGGACGATGGGCGGACGCTTCAACAGCCTTTAGGTCAGCATACATTCAGTTCGGCGGCCGAGGGGCAGCTCACCTCACATTCAGAACGGAAGCCGCGGTCAATTTCGGCGGCCGAGGAACACCGAGAGGAACGGAGGCGCAGCTCGAACCAACTAGCCGTGCACCTGAACAAGCGGTGCCGCGCTTCGCGCGGCACCCTTTCCATCATGCTCCAATGAATGAATGCAAACAGACGAGCTGCACGCACACACGTCGCGGGCGGAACGCGGTGAGGGTGGAATCTGCGCCAAGCCCGTACGCTCGAGCTCGCACCCGCGCACCTCGCGGTCCGCGCGCCACGTCTCCTCTACAGCCGTGAATTGCGGGTCCTTTCCGCCGCCGCACCCGCGCGCGTGTCCATGAACGGTCGCGATGGCGGGCGTCGGTGCCACGCGCCGAACGCGAGCCAGCACACGCAAGGGCCATGAGTGCGAGCACACCGTGCACTACCCTGAACCCAATCGTGTTGCAGGTACCGAAGTGCTGGATGTTGAGGGCGAGCAAGTACTGTCGCGGCGACGCAGCTTCAGTGCAGAGGACTGAAGCTTTGAAGATTCGTACACTGGACTCTACAGCCTGCGAAAAGACGATCACTCATTGATCACTCACTGGTTTTGAAAATGTCTGCAAATTTTACTTTTTGCCGCTGCGCCGGCATTGGACACGCGCAGGTAACTTCAACTGGGTCAAAGAACTCCGCCATGCGACCTTGGCTCACAAGCCGGCTTGAAGGGGCGGTTGTCGGCTCTGTATATGCCGCAATAATGCGCTTGTCACCCCTAAAAGCCTGGAGTTTGTGTGCAGCACTAGAGTGAACTCACCCCAGAGTATACTAATACGCTGCCACGCTGGGAGTCAATAGACACTCCGCCCCAATACCCATCACGAAAGCTTTGGAGCACTAACTAAACATAAAAGGACAGGCCCAGAGGCCAGAGCACGGTTAAAGCTCTTGTGGCACGTGGGCGAGCTTGATGTAGCCGTGCCCAAGTGACGGTATGCCGTCCTTCCTTCTTCAGATATCGCAACACATCCCACCTATTGCTGGAAGAGAATTTTAGCCTCGCTAGGTGAGCGGGGCTTGCGTCTGTGATGTGGCTTCGCGCTTGTATGCATGTTGGGAGGTGGTGGTGGATGCAGGGACACGTTGGGGACACGTGGCGTTTATTGGAATCGGGAATTCCCGGGAGAATGAGCTGGGTAATCCGGAGCCTCGAAATTCGGCACGCGGCTTCCCGGACCGCTCACTGCCCTCTCTATGTTCGAGACCGTTGGTGTGCAGTGATGCATGTAACGGTATTCTAACACGCACTCGCATCAGATCCACGATATCGCAGCAATTCGTGCTGGCAGACCGAAACCTACGCCCCCTACTCCTGCATCGTGCCTGCCCCACCCTTTCGCGGCATCGGCCATCCACGTCCTCCTGCGACGGCAAGTCCGGCATCAGCGTCGTTGGTGACAATAACAGCACCTCCTCCCTTCTCCTCCCATGTCGCACCGATCTCTCCAGCCACCGGCGAACCATCTTCACGGCGCGATTGCCGATTTCTGCAATGGCATAAGCTTCTCGTTGTCATATGCGAGGACCTCCGCGGGCCAGTCGAGGCGACTCCGACAGGTGGGTGAGCTCAGTACCCAGCACACGTAGGAGCATGGCGCTGGTGTTGTTGTTGTAGACCCGCATGTCATTTCGGAGGGGGAATAGAGGTCATGCGGGTATTGCGGGGTTCGCTTTGGGAGCCGGGGCCGGGGGATGTCGTTCGAGACTACATGTCTGTCGCCTGAGTCCATGGGCTCTTCGTCACAGTTCATGAACTTTTACTCGTCGTCAGATTCCATGAGTTCGTCGTCAGGGCTCGTGTCTTCGCTGTCCGTGTCCATGAAGTCTTCATCTGCGGAAGAGTATTCATCGTCCGCGTGCATGCGTTCGTCGTCTAAAGCCATGAGTTCATCGCTTGATATCTGAAAGACAATGAGTGGCCGGCTCAGGAGACAAGTGAATTGGACGCACCTGCAACTTGGCGAACTCGGAAGCGAGAGCATGAATTGTCGAAGTTGAGGACATAACGGCCAGGGGACCCAGGCTACGCCCCGGGTCATAAATACCAATGCCATAGTCTCTTCCGCACCGATATACGTCATTATGTACAAGCCGCGCCGGCCGCCTCCCGCCGCCGACCCGTTCCGCCAGACCCGCACACGTGTCTGTCAGCGATTCCAGTGCATGAAGCGAGACCAGAGTGAACACGCACTCACCTCCAGCCGCGAGAGGCTGACATGGACGTGCATTCCCGCGGAGAAATCCGACTGAGCACCAGGCGTCGGCTGACGATTTGCACTCGCTTGAGCACGTACACGCCCAAGGAGGTTCGTTCTATTGATGGCATTGAGCGACATCCGCGCTCCTGAGCCCCTTGCGGATGTTGAATCCAGATGACTTCAGAGGACGGTGATACGGCACCCAAAACGGGTTCCGCTCTTTGCGCATCCGCAGATATGGTGTGGGGATGCACGACACCGTGGTCGTCCCAAAACGCATCGGGTTGTGAAGCAGAAAGAGCGCGGCGCAAATTTCACCAGCAGATGATGATTTGCACTGCGAAAGGATGGGTATGAAGATACAGAACGCTTGAAGCGTGACAGAGCGCTCCGAGAGCGAAGGATGTAATTGGTGTGTCATAGATTACTTTTGAGGCACACGCTCGCCCTTGCGAGCGGGGGCCCGGCCGGGCTAGCCGATCTCGTGTTCCGCCAGAAGCTGCGCGAGGAGGGGGCACCGTTAGCAACAGATGTGGGACGGAGGACGGATGTGGAATGTGGGTCGTGGAGGGCGAGCGGAAGGCTGGAGAGCTGGGCCTTCGATCGCGAGAAGAGGAGACAAAGAAGATGGCAGCGCAAAGAAACACGAAAGCGGTTCGCGCGATGACTGGAGGGAGAGAGCGCAAGAGCACGCACCATGTTCGGGATCCCGTTCGAGATCGGGTAGACGTGGCTGCAGTTCGGGCACACCATCGCGCCCTCCTCGACGTGGATCTGGACGGCGAAGTGGATTTAGGGGTGAGTGCGGGCGTGGGGGACGAAGGAAGGGACGGGGCGCACTTCGAGCAAGACGTGGTGCACCTTCTTCAGGAAGTCGTCGTCCACCATCTCCGGCTGCTCCGCGGGAAGGGAGGTATCCCCGAGCTGCAGGCAGAGAGCGCAAAGCCAGTCAGCTAGCGCGCCTTCGCAGTCCACAGCAAACACAACGGACCTCGCGTGCGGCGTTGACGAGCGCGGGCCACTCGAGGCGGGGGAGGAAGCCGCGGAGGAAGTCGGCGTTGAAGTCGGCGTCGCGGAGCTCGACGGCGACGTCCTTGAAGCGCAGCGGGAAGTTGTTGGAGGTGCAACCTTTGGCGTGACAGGCGAGCAGGTTGTGTGTGATCATGCGGACCATCGTGGAGGAGGAGGGCGGTCGTCTGCAGAACGCGCGGGTCGAGCAGAAGCCTCGCGGACGCGGACTTCGGCGTCTTTTTGACTTCACGCAAGAGCCGCACTGCGCTCCCATGGTCTTCCGCCCACTACCTCCGGAACACCTGCTTGAAGTATGCTGCAGCACCCCACACACACCGCGTCATCACACGAAGCTGCCTAGGGGAGACTAGGTCTAATGGTACATATCATGGCGGATGTGAGCTCAACTCATGAGCTAGACAGTATTCCTGCCGATCATGCCGTATTCACACCGCGAGTCATTGCAAGTAGATTGGCCTCCGGACAGATGCACGTCAATTGCTATATAGCTGGCTACTCAAGCGCTCTGGCACCACCCACCAGCCGACGTGCTTACTCGCAGATCTCTCCCGATTCCACCATGGTCACTCAGCTCTCGAAACCTTTCCTCACTCCATTCAATCTTCCCACCCTGACCCTGGTCCAGTTACGTGTGTCCTTCTCCTCGCAGAAGGTCCGTTCAAAGCCATTGTGGTGGGAGAAGATCCATGCATGACCACGACATCGTTGCGAAGTGGTGGGAGGAGATGACCGCGAGAATGTCGAAGTTCTGTGGGGAGGCGAACGCCGGTTCGAGCTCTACTACAAGGAGTCCCCGCCGAGCAGCCAAGACGGAGAGAGCGGTGATGGTGGAGACGAGAACGCAGAGCCACAAGAAGAAGACGCGGACCCTCGAAGCTACAGTAGTGAATCATCAGGTGCATCCATTGCCATAGCCTATCAGCAGGTGCGGATGCATCTGTTGATCCGGCCGCGCTCACACAGCCACCGGCCACACGGGCGCGACACTGCCCCGAGACGTCCAGACACTGGCGCCCCAGGCCCCGCCACCTGAGCTCACCTTCCTCTTTGTTTCACACCACACTTTGTATATAATTAGTGATCAAAATATATTCATCATTAAACTACTACACAGGTGGGCTAGCAAGTAATATTACGCCCTGCATGGAGGCAGAGGCGGAGGTGGGTGCGGGTGGGCAACACGGGCGGGTGGAGGCGGGCAACATGGGCGGAGGCGGACAACGCGGGGAGGTAGATAACACGGGCGTAGGGGATGTGGGCGAGGTCAGCGTGTGGGACGTGGGCGTGGAGGAGGTGCGCACAGAGTAGGGCGACGCGAAGGCGCGCGAGGCGCGCGCAGAGGACGCGGGCAGGTGGGAGGACGCGGGCCAGGCGCAGATGGACGGCGATGTGGGCGGAGAACGGCGGCGCGGAGGAGGGCGACCTGGTGGCGCGGGCGTGGAGAAAGCAAGCGGGTGTGGGGAACCC